ATAAGTGGTAAGAACAAAGTAATAAATGTTAATTACTGCCAGATATCATTAATACTTGTCCCAACTATACCATATCTAAACTGTGTCGGGTTTTTAATAGTTTTGTTTGTGTATAGTATGAAATAATCATTATATTCCGTTAACTTAGAAAAAAGATCTCTTGTTTTCTATTTATAATTTAGTTTGTATATACATTTGTATAATGTATTATAAATTATAATCAATTGTATACATGTATAAATTATCATTTTATGTTATCAAAGTTTAAAAAGACAATAAAAGAAATGGCTTATCTTTATCGTAAAAATGATCAATTTTATTGGTATCATTGTAATAGCAGTTATATCTATGTACTTAAAATAATTTTTTATTGTCTCCTTCACGATTATTTCTACTTAACTGTATTAAATCGTGACCAACATAAATTATATTTGGTTTATCAAATTTTCAATATAAATTATATTTACATTGAGAGTTTTTATAATATAGATACTTATTTCATTGTTTCAGTAAAATGTTAAAATATCTTTTACAATCATTTTTTAAACTTCTTCACATAAAATTCATCAGGATGAAAACTGTCTTCAAGAATACATGATTGATGCTGCTTAAACTTTAAATTTTGATAGCAAAATTTGACTGTACAGTTTGTATAAGGGGAAATTATATTAATTAAGGTAAATATTATTTGTTTTTATCACCGATATACTTTATTCCAACAAACAAATATAATTAATATAAAAATAGAACAATTGAATCAATTGAATGCCTTCCCCTCCAAAAAAAAGAATCATAGACAGTACAAAGATTATTTCATTTTTGGTTAATTCGGATGAAATACGGTCAATAACGTACACTATGACTGGAAGAGCACTGACAAGTTAATCATAATTCCATCCAAATCAAAATTTCAATAAATAGTGCGCCGACCGATTCGTAAACGGACGCGTCCCCTTTGGTCAAAATTATAATACTTTAAATAGCCTTAATATCAACCACACTACTCTTATAACGAGTTTACCATCACAACTACAGCCCCACTGTCATTATAGTGGTCACGCTGATTGGTTCAACCTACGCTACCAACCTGAGATACGTAGGTATACACTTAAAAATAAAACATATATATTGAATGATTTTTTTGTTGTAACACACTTAATTAATTGTAGAATAAAAATAATTAAAAATTAATATTTTTTTTAGTTGTCTTTAGTTAAATATTATTATTAAATTATTGTTTATGTAATATTGTTATAGTTCTTCCTTTATACCTTTTGAGGTGTCAACTTTGTTTTTTTAAATGGTAACACGTATTTTTAATTTAATAAAATGTTTGAGTTTTTATTTTAATAGTATTTGGCATTTGAATTTTAAATAAAAATTTATTCGTATGTTAGATATCAAGTTTTAAAGTTTCAAATTTTTGAGTTAATACATGTACAATACACAAAAATTAAAAAAACAGGTAGCTAATTGGTTTTTTATGAAGACATTATCACAACACGGAGTGTTTATTGTCAATTTCGACTATCAATAGATATGTTTTTTTTATTGCTACCAACAATTATTAGCGTTATTATTATTAAAACTTTGAATATTTTGAGAATTATTAATATTATTATTATTACGGAAAATACAATTTGATGTATTATAATTTTTTTTTATGGCAAATTTTACAATAGTTATTAAATTTATTAGGATTATTTGAATTAAAAGAATACTTAACTAAATTTTTTTCAGTATTAATTCTTAGTTCCTCCTGTTTAGCTATTGCGATTGCATCACTTAAATTTTTCGGATTATTAGCTAACACGATAATTTTAATTTGGTTATTGTGAAGACCTCTTTTAAATGCGCCTAAAGCCTGATCTTCACACATATCCCTAATAGCTGATTTTTTATTTTACAAGTTAATTTATAAGTATAGGACTGACAAATTTTAGATTCTAATCTTTCTACTCTATCGCCAAAATCTTTATTTTTTTCATTTTTATTTCGTCTAATTGTAATTCAACGCATAATTGATCTGGACAAATTTCTTCCCCAGAATTATCAATAAGTAGGATTTTTAGTTCCGACCAGTCCCTAATATCTACCGAGTCCGCTAATTATCTAACTTAGCCTTTAATTTTCAGCTTAATGGCTAAAATCAGTTGTTTATGCTGTTCAGCTGTAGCCATACGATAAGCATCATTTACGGTATTTATGAAATTATTTAAGGTATAAGACTTGCCTTCAAAAAGTTCGCCTATTAATTGAGCTAATTCGTAAATAGACAAATTATTCTGTGTAGCCATATTAATTTAACAAATTAAAGAAAATGTTCTTTTTTAGCTTCGATGCGAAGCTGAGAAGATATTAATTTTACCATGATGTGTTTATTTTATTTTTTTTTTATGTCTGTTGCCACATTTTCTCAACTCTCACTGGACCGATTTCTTTCAACAATACGTCAAATGATCACAAATCTTATCCAGTTGAAGATTTTATCCTTAAAAGTTGAAAAATTTTCCCGCAAATGGGGGAAATCTCCAAAAAATTACAAATTTAAAAATCGATAAATTTTGTCAATTTTTTCACTTTTTTTTCTTAAAACTTCTATAACTTTTTCAAAAATCAACAAATCAACATAATTTTTTTTTATACTAAAACCTTAGATATTTTAATTTTATTTGATATCATTTTTTTGAAAATTTAACACTTAACCTGTTAACGGGGGAGATTTAAAATAGCAACTTTTTCAACTTAATTCTTGAAAATGTTCCGGAAATATGCGTCCTTTAAACATATATCAAATTAAAGCTTATGTCATGTACTATAAAATTAAAAAAAAAAAATTTGACCCGACACTTTATCTTCTGCATGCAAACGGCTGCCGTAGTTAAAAAAACGCTATTTTAGTGTTAAAATTTTCAACTTAAAAATGCTATAACTTTTCGAAAAATGTATGTATCAGCACAAATATTTTTTTTCTAAATACATTAAAAGTACATCTTACATTTGACATAAATTTTATTAAAATTGGACAATTTCCCTTTATATAGGGGGCGTTCAAAACTTGAAACATTGTATAAAAAATTAACTTTTTCAACTTAACTTTTGAAAATGTTCCGGAAGGTCTGACACTTTTATATATATCTTAAATTAAAGCTAATGTAATGTACTTTAATATGAAAAAAAATAATTTCGGACTTTATTTTATCTTCACGGTGAAAAAAAAGGCTATTATTGTGTGAAAATTCTTGATTTTATTTTTTACATCTTTAACTTTATAATGCTATAACTTATTGAAAAGTGTATTGATCAATATAATTTTTTTATGGGAAATACTATTTTTTAATAATCCCTTTTCCATTCGACATACTTTATCTTAATTAAGATATTAATAATGAACTAGCAGAACATGTAGCTTTTGGAATAATACACAAATTTTTTTTAAATTAAACACAATCTAAAGATTTGCATCGAAGCTTTTATTTTTGATAGTGATTTTAATCACTGTCAGATATCATTATACTTGATCCATCTATGCCACGTCACCACTGTGCCGCGACCCCCCTGTGCTGGGTTTTTTTTATTAAGTTTGATGTCTGTTTTCACCATGAAGATAAAATAAAGTCCAAAATTTTTTTTTACCATAATAAAGTATATTACATTAGCTTTAATTTAATATATATATAAAAGTGTCAGACTTTCCGGAACACTATCAAAAGTTAAGTTGAAAAAGTTCTACTTTCTACATGAATTTTTTAGATTTGAACCCCCTCGTATATATGGAAATGGTCCGATTTAAAAATACAGTATGTTGAATGAAAGATGTATATAAATACTACTTCTCATAAAAAAATTGTAATGATCCATAATAAAGTATATTACATTAGCTTTAATTTAAGATATATATAAAAGTGTCAGACCTTCCGGAACATTTTCAAAAGTCAAGTTGAAAAAATTAAATTTTTGTGAAAAAGTTGTCATTTTAAATCCCTCCCTGTGGGCAAGTAATGGGTCACATATAAAAAAAAATATACCAAATAAAAGGTAATGATATCATGCATCTATTTAAAAAAATTATATTGATTTGGTTATTTTTAAAAAAGTTATTACAATTTTAAGTAAAAAAATTGAAAAAATTTCGAAAATAAGCAATTTTTAAATTTGTAATTTTTTTGGAGGTTTCCCCCATTTACGGGGAACGAGGGAATTTTTTTCAATTTTTAAGGATAATGTCTTCGACTAGATACAATTTGTGATCTTTTGACGTATCGTTGAAAGAAATCGGTTCGGTGNTATATTAGTGTATTTTAAAATTTAGTTTTAATTAAAATTTTTATATATTTTAATCACTTATAAGTGATTAGTGGACGTAATTTTGTCAAAGGATGAATTTTATGTCTAGCCATAGTAAATTTATTTATTTACACTATTAAAATAATTTCTCTTATATTATTTTTTATATTCTTTAATCAAAAGTTTATTTGAATACCTATAACAAAACAAAGTTTCTTGTAGAGAAATGTTCAACTAGTTTAAATAAATTTTACTAGATGTCTAAATAATATCAGTTACTATATTAAAATTAACATATAGTTACAAATAAAGGTTACGATGCATTTATAATTGATGTCATCTTTAGAATATCGAACAACATTATATCTTATAAGGGACCTTAGACATTAAAACAAAATATGTTGGCAGCCTATACAACATAGGTTAACTAACGTAATTTGTATTAAAGGTGCAACAAAAAAATTGTTTATATGGCGTAAATGAATTATTTTTAAGTTGCTGATAAAAAAAATTATTAGTTACAGACGTTATGAACCTCTTTTTCATTGATGTTCGATATGTTAATGAACATTCAAAATTCGATTTCGATAATAGTTATTATCATAATATTTTAACTTAAGGTCACAATGAGTTCATTATGATGTTATTGCTAAATATAAAATGCATTAATTTGAATTATTTAAAAAAAAAATTATTGAGTACTTATTATACTTTTTAGTTTTAAAATTGTTGTAGTTTAAATAAGTTATATTGAGTTAGTTAACGATTTATACGTTCTTAATTATATTTATATTAAAATGAAGAATACACACGATGAAAGTGAAATACAAAATTTTTTTAGGAATACTAACGTTTTCCTTACGGGCGGAACTGGATTTATTGGTCAAGTTTTATCTGAAAAACTGTTAAGGTATCTAAAAAAAGTTTTTTTATAGTCTATTTGCAAGAGGTGAAATTTAATTCTTCTTAAATATCATAAACAATTTGAATACCTATAGTTATTGTCACATGATTTTCAAAATATTTGGAGACCAAATATTTCAATACAACAATAATAAAATTGCTTTTTACAAAAAATTGTAGAATAGATTTTAATATGTTTTGAATATATTGACCCAGATAAATCAATTTAAAATATTTTTAAAACATTAAAAAGTGTTTTTTTCAATTTATGATAAGTTCATTTTTCATGTCATTGCGATATTGATAATTCAATTTTTTATTGTAATGATAACGATAAAAAAAAAAACTATCAATTTCTTATTTTTAACGAATAGTGCGTGAGAAATGTTTTTGATGCAAGTAATTTTTTTTTTTTGTCGAGGAAGTTTTAAAGTAAAATAATTGAAAAACCATATTCATAACTTCTAGAAATAATTCTAATGCATTCATCTTTAGTATTACCCACTTTATTCGAATGACATTTAATTTAAAAACACCTTATTAAATTTGATTAAAGTTTTGATAAGTTTGGTTTATGAACCCAAGAAGCTTTAGCGCTTTGTAACATCGATCATAGATAATAGCTACAGGAGAAAGATTTTTAGAAAGGATGAAACTTATATCACGAACAATCTCATTAGATTTTTTTAATAGAAATATTATAAATATAACATTTATAGAAAATAAGAGAGTGAATAGCAAAATTTGGAAGGTTTACTCAATACCTATTGGTGCCGTATTTGGGTTAAAATATGACAATTGAACGTATTTTTCTTTCATCTTTGAGTTTAACTCTATAAATAATATATTATGAATTTAAATATCATAAATGGTTAATTTTTTTTTTAAATGCACTTCTGCAATTTTCTTATTTTGTGATTTACAGGCTTCTAATTTTGTAAGAAATTGTATATTATTGGGGAAACTTCTATTGCGTTGGTAGAAGAAAACCAAGCTTGTATGTAACATTTGACTATAAAACAACAAATATCTTTTAAGGATGTTTCTTATTTGCTGTTTAGTTAAAATTTTTTTTTTAATAATAATATTTTTAAACAATCGATTGCCTCAATCATCCATCTACTTGAATGATATGGATCGAGTTGTCGAAAAGTAGTTTCCTTTGGAGGAACACCAAAGAACGTTTAAAATGTAATTACGTGTTCCAAAAGTTCTTGATAATCTTTCGAGGAAGATTTTTAGTAACTTAATTTTTTGCATATAAAATAATTTAATTTGCTTCATTTTTTTAAATATTATGAATAGAAATATCAGAAACTGACGTAGAAAATTGTGTTTTATCAATTTTTTCCGTCTTTGTTGAAATCTTTTGAACAATAATATTTTTGGTCCAGTTGAAGGATATAATTTAATTTCTTAAAAAACATTTTGTAAAAAAAAGGCAAAAATGTAGTGTCGGCATACTAAGAATAATATATCTCTTTCAAGACGTTGGTCCAACAAAACACATGCTCCATTAAACTTTCCTGTATTAGAGACCGTAGTATCATACGTAAAATCTTGTACTTTTTCTAATAGTGACCATTTGAACAAAGCTTCAAAGACAACTGATGAAACTTCTAAACTTGTCCTTGTGAGTATATGAAGGATTACAAGAAGCTGTTTAATATATAGGAAGACGATCTATATTTTTTTTTTTGTAATGGTAGAAAATATTTTTGTGTCTCAATGGATCACAACAAAATTCAAATTTTGATCATGAAATTTAGAATAAATATTTTTTATATTTTTTAAAATAACTTTCACGGGACCTTTTCATTGATGATCGGTTTAAAACATATGTGCTGGGATCTAATGATAAAGCATCCAATCACACAGTAAGTAAATGAACAGCATCCCTATCACTTACTTTAAACCTATTATGTGTGGCAGATAATCTAGATGTTAAAAGATGCCTCTTTTACATATTGACGGACCAGGCTCTTGTGAAAAATTACTTTCTTCTTCACTAACTATTCATCAGAAGATGAATCGGATGAAAAACTTGAATGCTTTTCTAAATCTAATTATAAATAAGTGTTAAATATACGATAAGAATATATTTGTTTTAATTAATTACTTTCTAATAAAGTTTCTGAGTGAGGTATAGGTTTTTTTTTCATTTTTCATTTGTTTTCTCTTTTCTAATTGTGCTAAGTTTTTTATGCTCATAAATGCTCAATAGTAAATGTAAATGCTCATTAAGCATTTAAGAACATTAATAGAAAGGCTAAGGAAATCACTCCAAGCAATAAGTTAGTATAAATCAGATTGGAGTAAATGATAATTAGAGATTGATTTTACATGCATAAATAATTTCATGGCATTAGTAGTAAAAATTAAAAGTTTAGAATGAAGGAGTACAGATGTAGCCGAATTAACAAATAAAGAAAAAAATAGAGGAGACAATACAGCATCCTGAGAGGGAGAAAAATAAGGAGGATTTGCACTATTAACAAAGATGAATTGAAGGTGATCTGACAAGTTTAACCAAAACAATAATGGATTACCGATACCAAAGATATCAAGAGATTTAATCAATAGTCTATTATCAACTTTGTCAAATGTCTTTGAAAAATCTATGTAGATTATATCAAATTGACTGTAAAGACGAAAATGATCAAATATACAAGAAGTTAGAACTAAATTATAGGTAGTGATTGAGCGAACAGGTCTAAAACCATGTTGCTGATTAACTATATTATGATTTAGAGAAGAATATATTGAGTTAAAAACAAAGAATTCAAAGTTTAGATAAATGAGGGATCATTTACTTAAGAGAAGAAAGAAATATACCTCACTGAAGGGATTTATTAAATTTATTTAAATGGAAAATAACATCTCTAAGTCTGTACCATTGAGATCAAAGGATTTATTGTTTCTAAGTGAGATGATGAGAGACGGTGTGACCAAATCGGTAACGCGGCAGTGCTTGACTCACACAGCCTCGGGTGACTTCATTTACCGAACGAGAGGTCAGTTCAGTAATTGGAATCGTCATCCCTTTTCTCCGGTGACGGTTTAGTCACCTGACTTGGAGTATTAATAGTTAAAAAAACCTCTCCTTTGGGTAGGTCGCTATCCCAAATAGACCTAAAAAGCTACAAAAAAGTGAGATGATGGTTTGACATAGAAATCAAGCCATTTGTAAAAGAAGAAGAATCAACAAAGGAATTATATATATATAATAATGAAAAAATTACACGTAACATACAAAATAAATAAATATATAAAATTAAAATTATGTTTAAAAATAATTTTAGAAACTATTATTTAATGAAATAATTTATAGATTATAATAATAAACAGTCAGTTTTTATGTCGCAACTGAATTCTAATTAATATAATTAATTAATTTTATCTTAGTTCATAAAAATGATTTAGGAAGGGCTAAAATGGTTACCAATAGATTAGTTAAGACATGTCTATACTTCACTTTATTACACTTGAGCTCAAACGCGATTTTATTGTTTTTGTAGACGAATTTCTTGTGTGTAGTAAAATGTGTAAGTGACAATAAGCAATTCGCTAAAAATTCAGAAAAATAAAAAAATCATTGAACTTGTTTATTATAAATAGACATTCTTCAAAAGATTGCTACATTATACATGTATAATGAAGAATGTCTATTTATAATAAACAAGTTCAATGATTTTTTTATTTTTCTGAATTTTTAGCGAATAGCTTATTGTCACTTACACATTTTTGAGGGCCACCCTAATGTATAAACAGAGTGATTGATTAACTATGCCTTGCAAAGTATCTCTGAAAATACAAGTTATCATTTTCTTTTTTTTTTTTAAATATTATGTTTCTATCTTAGGCTGCTCAATGAGTAAAATTACACTTTTATGATCATTCCTTATGCTTTAAATCAGTATCAATATTCAATTTTCAAATGGTTACCATATTTTTTTTATATATTCAAATAAGATATAGTTTTAAAAAAATTATTCGTAAAAAATTTTTTTATTTATTCAATTATCAGTGAGCTATGATTCATTAAAGTTTAGGGACGTGTGTATTACTCACGTCAGAGAGGAGCAAGCGTACCTTAATTTTTCCCGTTGCGGTACAATACAACGGTAATTCTTATCGGTACACTAAATATTAATATTACTGTATTTACCCGATAACTGCTTTATTTGTTAAATCCCCTAAACTTTAAATAGTGATATCTCGTTTAGAGTTTATTAAAATTGATTTTTTTTTATGCAAAACGAGATTAATAAAAAAAAAAACTGGGTTGCTATTTGAAAAACTAAAGTTGATATTGATTTAAGGATTAAGGGATGAAGATGGAATTTTTATTTCTCTTGTCTAGTAGCTCAACAAAGAGTTATAACAAATAAAATAATTACACATATAATACTAATATTTTTAAAGAAAATTGTTGAGGCATAATCAGTGAATCGCCTTGTATGAATGTGTGTTAAATATCGTCGGTTTATGTCATAAACCGATGTTTGTATATTTCTTTTATCATAAACTTTATGATAAAAGAAACATATTGATCAAAAATTTTTTTTAAAAAATTAAAAACTGTATTATATATTGATTTTATAGAGTTAAGTAATAATAATAGAACTCTTTAAGTTGGAAGTATTAAAAAAAATGTTTGTGAAAGGATTTATGAGGTATAAAGAAAACAAAACATAAACGAAACACCAAAATTCTTCAAGAGATTTAATGATATAACTAAGTTCATTTATTAAGAATTAAAATCATTTGCGGGCATTTAAAGCGTTAGATCTTTGAACTTCTTAAAACATGTGATATCCAGTAAAACGAAAAAACTGTATTGTTATAATATTACAATAAGATATCTCTAAAAGTTCCCTCTCTAAAAATCTTCCGATAATTACAATACGATTTATAATTTATACCATATAACAATTTAAAATGAAAAAATAAGTCAGTAATTTTTTTTTTTTTTTTAGATCGTGTTCCATTAAACATTTGTATTTGTTAACAAGATCAAAAAAAGGAAGAGACCCTCAAAGTCGCTTGAATAAAATGTTTAGTAGTTCAGTAGGTTCTATAATAACGTTATAAAATGCAAAATGTAACAAGTAATTAATATTATTAATATTTTAGTTGTATCAACGATTGTCAAAAGAGCAACCTGACTTTATTAATAAGATCACATTAGTTATTGGTGATTGTAATGAACCTAACTTAGGCTTATCGCCTAGCGACGAAGAATTAATAATACGTCAAGTTAATATTGTATTCCATTGCGCCGCTTCGATACATCTTAACGGACCTCTTCAACATTTAACATTCACAAATGTCAGATCAACTAGAGACTTACTAGTTATAGCAAAAAAAATGACTAACTTAAAAGTTCGTAAAAGTATTTTTAAGATTACAGTAGATATAAATAATGAATGAATAATTAAGGTTGGTTTAAGAGTCAATGCCTTAGGAATCTTATAAGATGGAATTTAAAAAATATACACTATAATTCCTTATTAAATGTTTAGTATTTAATATTAAATATTGAGAGGTGTGTGAAAACTCCAGTTTTGGAGATAAAAATTTTAGATTCAAAATTTGCTGTTAGATGGCTTCTATTAAATATCACTGATATGCTATTGTCATATATTGAAGTAGTACTCTGCATAAAATTATTAATAATTTTTTTGGTTATACAGGGTGATTTTTTTATCATAACCCACTCAATTACTTATAGAATAATAATAATTTAAACATTTTTTTTATTACTATCTTTAGTTACACATTATTCTTGAATTATTAACTATGTAATACTTTTTAAGATCATCCCTTATGCCTGGTAAGGGTGTCAACTTTGTTTTTTTAAATGGTAACACGTATTTTTAATTTAATAAAATGTTTGAGTTTTTAATTTAATAGTAAATGGCATTTGAATTTTTAATGAAACTTAATTTGTTTATTAGATATAAACATTTAAAGTTTCAAATTTTTTAGTTAATATATAGGTATAATACACAAGGGATTACAAATACAGGTAGCTAATGGATTTTTTATGACATCGATATTAGCAGGTACACAGCATTGTTATTATCAATGATAATAAGGTACATTGTTGTGAGTTTATAAATACACTAACTGACAATACAAAAAGTATATCTAATGATAGTTATAATTGATAATAAACAATCCGTGACTGTGATAGCAATATCATAAAAAACCAATTAGCTACCTGTATTTGTAATCCCTTGTGTATTATACCTATATATTAACTCAAAAATTTGAAACTTTAAATGTNGCAAAATTTTGAAACTTTAAATATTTATATCTAATAAACAAATTAAGTTTTATTAAAAATTCAAATGCCATTTATTATTGAATTAAAAACTCAAACATTTTATTAAATTAAAAATATGTGATACCATTTAAAAAATCAAAGTTGACACCCTTACCAGGCATAAGGGATGAACTTAAAAAGTATTACATAGTTAATAATTCAAGAATAATGTGTAACTAAAGATAATAATAAAAAAAATTTTTTAAATTATTATTCTGTAAGTAATTGAGTGGGTTATGATAAAAAATCACTCAGTATATAAGACAATTTTTTATTTTAAACATATCATTGATTTTATGCAGTCATTTGTTTACGTATCAACTGCTTTTGCAAATACAAATCAAGAAATCAGTAAAGAAATTATTTACAAGTGTCCAATGAAAGGCGAAACGTTAATCAGTATGGCTGAAACAATGTCAGAATCGTTCTTGAATTCAATAACAAAAGAGTAAAAACAAAAACCTTTGATTTTTAAACTAAATTTATACGCAGTTTATACTTTAAAGATGTGTTGGAACGTGGCCTAATACCTATACATTTTCAAAATGTATAGCAGAAAACCTAGTTCAAGAATACGGTAAAAATATGCCAATAACTATTGCTAGACCATCAATAGGTAAATAAATGAAATATTTATAAAAAACTGAATACTTTATACGAAAATTACTAAACATTTTCTAGTTGTAAGAAATACTATTCACTAAGAATGTGTCAAATAATATACTAAAACAATGTTAAATCAACTATAGATGAATATTAAGGTAATAGGAAACATTTCGGTAGAGTCTGTTTGGGAATGAAAATTCAGTTAAAACAATATGTTTCCGAAAAAATTTCAAAACTAAAAGAAAAAATTAGTTTTGCTGTTTAAATTCATTAATAAAGAATTATTACAATTAAATAATTGGTCAATCTTATAAATACTCTATAATATAGAAGGTATTTAGATTTGTACTCTTGTTTTATTGTTGCATTATAATATTTTATTTTATAAATTATAACAAACCAAAAGGAAAAAAAATTAAGAAAAAGGTAAGTAAAATTATTATCAAAAATAGCAAAAGATTAATAAATTAATGATAGGTTAATTGGTAAAAGAAATAAATATTGGTGAATGAATAGATTTGTGGTATCTCGGGGGTAAATAATATTTAATAAATGAAGTTAAATATCCCTTAAAATTGTATAATTTATCTCAATGGTCTATTATCCAATTTATCCAACGCAATGGATTGTTTGTGATTCGAAAGCATAGATTAAATGGTACTTACTTTATGTCTTATGTCACGTAATAATATTTTAGGATTAATCTATGCCAAATCATCCAGAAATAGTTGACCACCTCATTTTTTTTTTAATTTTCATGGATTATTCTTTATTTTGTACTTAGATTAAAACAATTTTTTGTACGACATTACTATTTTTATAGTTATTTCAATATACAAAATGTTAAAAACAGCCAAAACGTTAAAGAACACACAAATTCAATATTAATTTAATTGAATTAAAATTTTAGAATTGACCTTATTATAACTAAAAGTTTACATAAAAAAAAAAAATTATATGAAATTCTAAACTTTAATGACTATCTAAAAATGGCATCTTTCTGTGTAAATTGGCGTTTTTAAGCTCAATTAAAATCATTAAAATGTTATTATTTTATAGTGATTTTCAAATGAGGTATTGTCTAGTGTATAACTATGTTTCAATTAAATTTCAAATATGTAAAATATTTTTCTTCGGATTTAGAAGTCTATAAAGTTAGACATTTTATAAAAATACACGTATTCTAGGGGCCTTATTTCTATTGGGAGAACTAATTTCAAACCATTTTTTTTTTAATTTTATAGGTTGATTTCGTTTATTAAATGCGTATACGTTCCGCGCTGTGCAGTCAATATAATTATTTGCGAAAACGCTTTAATTTTTAAATAATACGACTTCATTACATAAAATCTGTGACTGATTTTTATACGTAAAAGATTCTATACACTCTATATTTTGTATTAGAAGTATAATTTATAATGTATCCATATTTTATTTTTTTGAATAGGTTTTTTTTTTGTTATATTTTAATAAATTGAAAGATAGATATCAATATTTTTCAAAGCTTCCTCTGGCCTGGCTAAAACAAGATTCAAAAATATTTATTTCCGTGTAAAAAGTTTATCAAGTCGCTATTAATATGTCCCGGTTCTGACGCCTTAAAAGATGCGGCACAATAATCACCAAGACAAAAATTAAACACTAAAATATATTCATAAGTTTCTCTGCGTTCTCTGCCAGCGCGATTTTCGTTAAAACAAAGATATTAGCAACGTGTTTAGCTACCCAATAAAAAAAAACTTATAATGGATTTTTACCATTAAATAAATATTTAAAGTTATTCTCCTTTTAAGATATTTTAAAATAAAATAAAATACAAAATCCAGAATTTTAATACAAAAATAGCATATTTTTGAATACGGTAGCCATTTGCGCATTGATGATAGGTCGTCGGGACAAATTTTTTTTTTTTAATTTAATAGTACATGACATAAGCTTTAATTTTAAATATGTTTAAAGGACGCAGTATTTCCGGAATATTTTCAAGAATTAAGTTGAAAAAGTTAGTTTTTGTAAAAAAGTTGCTATTTTAACCCCCCCCCCCCNTTTCCGGAACATTTTCAAGAATTAAGTTGAAAAAGTTGCTATTTTAAATCTCCCCCGTTAACAGGTTAAGTGTTAAATTTTCAAAAAAATGATATCAAATAAAAGGAAAATATCTAAGGTTTTAGTATAAAAAAAAATTATGTTGATTTTTGAAAAAATTATAGAAGTTTTAAGAAAAAAAAGTGAAAAAATTGACAAAATTTATCGATTTTTAAATTTGTAATTTTTTGGAGATTTCCCCTATTTGCGGGAAAATTTTTCAACTTTTAAGGATACAATCTTCAACTGGATAAGATTTGTGATCATTTTACGTATTGTTGAAAGAAATCGGTCCAGTGAGAGTTGAGAAAATGTGGTAACAGACATAAAAAAAAAAAACACATAATAGTAAAATTAATATCTTCTCAGCTTCGCATCGAAGCTAAAAATTTTATAAGATAAACTTATATTTTAAACTATTCATAGTTATAGGTTTTGTTGCTGAATAATTTCATTAATATAACAACTATTACAATGGTTTGGCTGCTTATCACCTCGTTCTATATAACTTAAAAAAGTTAAAAAACTATGAGATTTGTTAAATAAAATAGTGTGAAATATAAGTAATTTTTGAATAATTTAAAATTTTACTAAATTTTATGTTACTTCATTCTTATTAAACAATTAATTATATTATATTAATAATTGTAGCTAATAAATAATAATAAAAAAAACTAATAAATCTAAAAATACATAAAAGTTATAAAATCCCAGAAGAATTTTTTTTAAATAATTATTATTTATGAGATATTGAGTTGAAACTTTTATATAATATAAGAGATGAACATAAATATTTTATTACAGTTAAATGAAGATACATAGTAACTAATAAAAGCAAAAAAAAAAATGTTTATTTTAAGAGAAATTCAAGTGGCTAGTGTTAAAAGAATTACTGTGTATAGTACTATATAGTTAAAATCTGATTGGGCCCTTTCTTTTATTGTTGATATTAAAAATATTTACAAGAGGTCTCAAATTAAAGGTGCCCATCAAGATTTCCTCAATAACTCGCCTAGCCTACTCAGATCTGATTATATATAATAATAGTGTATTTTTTAAATTAATATTTTATTATATAAAATATTAAAAATTAATTTTCATGTATTCGGTTTCAGTTGTTTATACTCACAAAGAACCAATTCCAGGATGGTTTACAAATTTACAAAGTGTTCCAGGTCTTGTATTAGGAGTAGCATTGGGCGCGATACATGTAATGCTTGGTGATCCAAATGCGCGTGCTGTTATAGTTCCAGCCGATAAGGTGGCGAATATGATTATGTCATGTGCTTGGTTTGGTTCAAAAATAAGGTATTCGTTGGAATTAGATTGGATTTTTAATTTTCAGAAAAATAATAAAATTTAAATGGATCTATGTTAGTTTATACGAATAGAACGTAGACAACTATCATTTAATATTATAAAAAAATATTTTTAAGGTCGTTAAAATTAGATCAATTAAAAATATTATTTTAGTTGCACCTATACTCGTTATAGATATAATTCCTTTTAAAAATCTTAACTTTTATCTTCAACAATTTTTTATCTGACTTTTTTTTGGATTTCCATCTACGAATTTACTACTGAATTTTTAACCTTTTTTTTTAAATATCAGAAAAAATTCAGAGTTTTACGTGAAATACACCAACCAAAAATAAATGTATCATCAATATATTCAATAGACGTTCAATAATATACATTGTTTATTTTTTGTATAATATTGAGCATAAAATTCATGATGACTTCTGTAAAATGTAACTTTTACTTGTGATTTTAATAAATTTCGTTCTTGCAATCTTGATGCCAATAACTCTGATTTTTCCTTTGAGAGTTTCAAATCTCTTATTAAATCATTAAGTTCAGTTTGGGTAAAAATCCCCGGAATATTTTCAAGTTTAAAACTAATGTCAGTCTTACAATCGGCATGATTACTTGATTTGGGCGATTCACTATATTCTTTTTTCCTTTTGGGGTAAACAGGATATTTAACTGAGAGTAAATGTGGAACTGGTTTTGACATGGTGTTTACATGTGCATATTCAACTGTTTTATGACGTCCATGTTGTTTTTTTTAGTCAACACTTTATATATAACACTATATCTATATATATTTAAAAAATATAAAATTGACATTATATAAGGAAAATGGATGAATTAAAAAAATAATAATAATTAATATATTGAAAAATATATAAAATTAAGAAAAACTAAAAAGAATTTTTTTAATATAATTATTATTATATTAACAACTATTTATAATTTCTCCGTAAATATTATAATGTTAAATTATTAAATATCAATTTCATGCTAAATTGAATTACTATAATAAGTAGTTATTAATATATTATACATATAAATCATAAAACTTGTAATCAAGATATAAATAAGAAAATAAGAGTTAATATTGCATTTGAAATAATTCAATAACTCCTTTTAAAAATTAAATACTATCTACAAATTTTCATCGAAGCGTTTTTATGATAGTAATTTAATCACTGTCAGATATCATCTATACTTGTCCTTACTGTGCTGGATTTTTTTTGTTTATTGTATATATTTTCAGAAAATGATAAGGATTTTATCAAAACTGAACTCTATATTTTTCGTTGTCCTTGTTTTTAGAACACTTAGTTTATACCTTAAAAAATATCATGTTGAACCGATGCTTGAGTTCGACCTGAATTCAGTTTTTATGTATTAATTTCTTTAATTAAAATATTTCAGAAATGAAGAAACACCTATTCCAGTATTCAACTACGTACCCAATAATATGGCACCTCCTTTGTCATACGGACAATGTTTTAAAAATGTTGTAGACTATATAGAAAAATATAATATACATTCGACAAAAGTGGTATATAAATTTTTTTTTGTTAAAACTATGTTTATTTAAAACTAAATTTGATAATTTAAATTGTTGTTGATTTAAATTATTTTGTAAAAGCATTTAGCAATTAAAAAAAAATCCAATTCAATTTTAGTAATGTGATGAAATAGACAACGATGTGTTTTGGAGAGAGATGAATAAGGTGATGGGAGGAATATCTGGTAATGAGAATGCGGTGATAAATGGGGATATTAATGGAAATGTAGTTAAAAAGAGGAGAGAATATGAAAATATAATAGATAATTAAGGTACAATAATTGATTAATTTCTTGAATTTTGCTTCAGATTCTAACTGTTCTTCATGATTGACAATTTTGGATTCCAAATTAGAATTTACATACCTTAGTTTTAGCATGATGATTAGTTTCTAATTCAGATAATTTAGTTTTTAACTCTTTGTTTTGTATTTCCAATAAGGTTCTAGTTGTTTTCAATTTTTGACATGAGGTGCGTTCATTAGTTAAATCTAAATTTATTTGAAATAAATAAAAATAATATATTATATAAATATATACATTTTATATTTATATTAAAAATAATAGACGATTAATTTCTTAAAGGTAAATCTACTAAAATTAATTTTTAATACTTAATGACAATGTTCTTGATCTTGCTGTAGTTAATATTTATTTTAGAAAAAAAGAAGAACATTATATGACTTATAAAAGAGAGGTAGTAATAGATCATAGATTGTTTATTTTATGTGTAAGAGTGAATGTAAATTGAGTAAAATATTGTAAGTTATCTTAGGCAAGAATATAACTACACAACATAGACTGATTGTAATGGATTTATGGTGTAGTGGGAAGAGAGTATACGAAAACAAAAAGAATACAGGAGGAGAATCAAGGATTAAGTGATGGATATTGAAGGGAAAATGAAAAAGAATTTCTAAAGTCAGTAAAAGACGACAACGTGGAATGTGTAAAGAAGCCAAGTGTGCAGAAAGTAAGGCGAAATTTAAGAGGTATGATGAGTTGATGATAGGCTAGGAACAAAGGAAAGTAAAAAAGAAATCTATAGTCTTGCAAAAGTAAGAAAAAACAGTTTAAATATTATCACAATGTAAGGTATATAAAAAATGATTATGATATGAAAAAGGTAGAAAGAGTATTTTGATAAATTACTGAATAAGGAGTATTTAATAGAAATATTAGAGAATATTTATTGGAATGAGGGACTGGTAAATTTAATTAGTGAGAAAGAGGTATGGGAGGCTTTTGTATCAATGAAAAAGAATAAAGCAATAGGACTAAATGAAGTGGCAGTGGAAGTATGAAATATATTAGGCGGTGTTTGCTTAAGTAGGATTAAAAATAAGTAGGAGTAATACAGAGTATATTGAGTACGAGTTTGATAAAAGAGAACATGAATAAGTGAAATGAGGAGATCAATGACAACCAGCGAGGGTATGATAGGAGAGGTGTAAAGTTTTAAGTATTTAAGATCAGTTGTGCAAAAGAATGGTAGTATGGACGAGGATGTAAGAACACAAGATTATGTGCGGGTGGGTGATGTGGAGTAAAGCGTTTGATATGTTATGTGATTAGAAAATTCCAAAGAAGCTGAAGAATATGTTCTATAAGACTGGTGTGACACGAATTATGATATATAGTTCAGAATGTGGGGTAATTGACAATGCGTATAGTGTAGCATAATTTAAAATTCTTATATAGATGAATAGAATGACTAGTGAAGAAAGGATTTTGAGTTTCAATTAACATATAAGGCAGAGTATAGGTGTAGCGTCAATCGTGGATAAGATAATAGAAAATATATTTAGATGATTTGGTAATATTATGAGGAGAGAGAAATAGGATGCTGTAAAAAAATGAGTGTTGAAAAAATTAAGATAGAGGATGACCAAAAAATGGTTTGCTACTTTTAGGATAAGGCTGGTAGATCACAAGAAGTTGGGATAAATGCAAGATAAAAAAGAAGAAGAAGAATTTGATATTTTTTACAATTTGAAAATAAGGTACTTCGAAATCTAATTTTAAAAATGTTTTTTTTTATATATCTCTTTTTTAATTTTCGAAGGTAGGTAAACTATAGGTATCAATTTAAGTTTAAATATTTATAGTATTATTTAAAAACCCAAGAAGTGGTCTTATAAAATGACTTTCTTATCAAGAAAGTATCCTAAAAATAATTAAACTTTCTCTATTTAATTATAACGTGTTTATAAAATTTTTTAAGCAATAAAAGCAGTTTAAAAACATTTTAATATACTATTTATTCATAATAACCACTCAGCAGAATATACACTAATGATGTAAAATTACTATTTAAACATTTTTTTGGAATAATATTGGAAATGTTCTTGAAATTATTCTTTAAAAACGAGTATATTTTCATTATATTTTACAATATTGTAAAATGGTATAAATTGGCCAAAAAATAAAAATTAATCACTTCTAAATTTATCTATTTAGCTTCAGCCAGTTAGATTAATCGAATTTAGAGATATAGTCTATTTTGAATAAAAGTTAACCAATTATCCAATTTTATATTTTTTAATAATATTCTGTAGAATAATGTTCTCAAAAATATTCTTGTTACTGAGAATATTCTCTCAAAGATATTAGTTATATTACTACCCTTATTATTTATGAATATGATATTATTATTATATAATATTTGATTATAAATTATTTTTTAAGTCTGAAGTTACACTATAAAATAACTGATTAATCATACCCAATTGTAATTTCTACTGTCAAATATTATCGTGGTAATAACATAATTAATATCTTAGCACAGTCATGCGTAAGTCATATAGACTCACATGATGACATATATGTTATAAACTATAGTTTATATTTGATTTTAAAAACCTCTAAAAGAACCTATTTTTAGAAGAATGCAGGTACTTTAAAGTGTTTTAAAATAAATAATTTGAGGTTCCAGTTGTGTTATCGTTTCTTTATTTTCTTAGTCAGAAACATTTTTGAACTAGTTCTTAAAGGTTCTTTTTAAAAGGTTCCAAATCCTATATATAAATGTCGTGTTGGGAATGTTAGGTATTATCAATATTTCTGTATTATTAATACACCCCTTAAGTACAATTTTATTGCATATCATCTTAATTAAATAGATGTATAGAATTGTTTACAGTTTTTTTAAAAATCATGAATGTTGACATGCCCATCATTACTTGACAAGTGTTTTTTTCAGGTATTCGGTTCCAAATTACTTTATAAACACTAAAAACGTAAAGTGATACTTTCCTTTTTTTTTTGTATAGGTATGGATTCAGTTTATGACGGTCACTAAATCAAAATTTTACTATAATCTACTATTTTTTTTGTGTCATTATTTGCCAGCTTTTTTTATAGATATATATTTATGGATTAGTGGAAAAAAGTTGAGGTAATCAAAAATTTTGTATAATATAGAGTACATAAAATTAATATATTAATTTATAATTTAATTAATTAAAAAACAAAACTTCAAATAAAATAAGTAATATGTATAATAATTGTTATTCTGTTAATATGGTTACATAGAATTAAAAACAATTTTTGGTATTTTATAGTTTTGGACAATTTTATTTTTTAAGGTAAAAAACATATGAATTATATGAATTTTAATTATTTATTTCCATCTTTACAGAAATCATAACAACTTATAGTTTTATATAAAATACTATCTCAGCTTTACATTAAAGCTCAAAAATGATGTAAAATTTGTTTAAATGAAATTTAGTTGATTATAAAGAATTTTCTAATAAATGTATTTTTTAAATTTTTCATAAATATATTCTGTTAATAAAAAGTTATTCGCTTCATATAAATGATTAGAAATCTAAAAGACATTAATGGCATGCAGACAAAATATTACTAAAAATAGAGATCATTATCATTATTATACTTATATTATTAAATATAATTAAAATACAATTAAAATTATGCAATTTTGCTCTTTTACTCGTGCATCATTTAATAAATATTTTATTATTTAGAAATTAAAACTTCTCATTAGTAAATAATTTTTATTTTAATAGATTTAATAACTAATCAGTACAGTTAATTAGTTAATATGTTATTTAATTAAATTGTTAATTTAATTCTTATTTTAAGAGTAACACCGCTTTATTCAAAACTTGATGCAATGTTACGTGAAATGGGAACGAATTTTGCCTGCAAATCTTTTAAATTTGATGATACAAATTTAAAAAACCTCATTTCGTGTCAAAATGATTACGACAAACAACTGTTCGATATGGACTTGTCAAATATAAATTGGCATGACTATTTCCTCAATTGTATTTATGGAGCTCGTAGTTATGTATTGAACTATTCGGACGACGAAGCAGAAGTGGCCGCGAAAAAATATCAAAAGTAACAATCCATAAAATTACAGTATTCCATAAGTAGTATTTGGCATATATTAAATAAAAATAAATAGTTTCGTTTCATATTCTTTAATAAAAAATGGAACTCATTTTGTTTTGTTCCTTTCATTAAAAAAGATTTTGTTTTTTGGGCCGTTCCTTTATAAATAAACTAATTTTTTTAATTGTCTCGCTGTTTATGATAGTTTTAATGATTTAGATTAAGAATCTACAGATCCGAATTTAAAATTTGATTATATCGTTGTTTCCAAAGAATAGAAGTTTTAAGCAATTTGATAAACTTATTAGAAAAGAGATAATATGATTATCGCTAATAATATACGATTATTATATATAATTTTCTATTTTTATAAAAAATGTGAAACAAAACCCAATCTATTATAGATGAATTCAAATTATTTTTGTTAATTTCTTTAAGTTTATTTTTCTCGGAATAATATTACTTGAATTAAAATATGCAATGAAATAAAAAATAAATAATTTTATTAAAAATAATGAAATATGATCTTTGTCTTAGAATAGTATATTAAATAATAGCAAAAGGTGACAACGAGGTACAATCAAAAAGTACCGAGATTGATGATATTATTGGTAAACTAGTTATTTAAAGAGATAGAAATTTTAATGGAAAAGAGAAAAAAATATATTTTAAATATTTCTCTGCTAGTTTTTTTCTAAAATGGTTTTTTTTTTTTTACAAAAATTTCTAAAGTATAGGATTTAAAAACTTGGATTTTTTATGAAAAATTTATACCTAAAATATGCATTAAAATTAAAATAAATTCGTTTAAAGAATATCTAATTTTAAATAATTTTATTTAATAATAACATGAAGCACTTTTTATTGTTACAGAATGAAGGTTGTTTACCGTATAACAAAAGGAATCATGTATTTAATTATATTTTATTTATTATATAAAATGTTTTATGTTTTACTGTAAAATTATAATTAAATAATTTAATTGATTAAAATCTACTATTTAGTAAAAATCTGTTTTTTATTATTTGCCAACCATGTATTTGATAAACAATGTAAGTCCATAGTATTAAACTAGTAGAAAATAGTAAAAAACTATGTATAAGTTACCATTGGTGTGCTGCACAGGAACGAAGATAGTTAAATGAAAATATACGATTAGATACGCGTAGTTAATACAAGAAAATATAAAATTAATCTATTTTTATTTCAATAAATGCTTCTGAAAGCTCTTAAATTGTGTAATTTCATTTTGTAAAGCATTGCATCAAAGCGTTTTCAACTATGCTACGTCACCGTGATCCCCCTGTGTTGGGTTTTTTATCATGACCCACTTAATTACTTACAGAATAAATATAATTTAAACATTTTTTTTTGGTTATTTTCAGTATGATAATATTCTTGAATTATTAACTATGTGATACTTTTTAAGTTCATCCCAGGCGCGGATTCAGGATAATTTTTTGGGGGGGGGCCATTGCATATCATATAATTATCTTATATATATGGCGAATATATATATGGCATATACCAGAAAAGGTTTTAAGGTCGACCTCTCCAATTTTTTTTGAAAACTTTTCATGTTTTTAATACCGTCAAAAAACACCTTCATGAATTTTTTCAAATTTTTTTGATCACTCGTATCTTAGATATTGATTATTTCCAAAATTCAAGGTTTTTTTTTCAAATAGCAATAATTTTGCAAAAAATACAGTTACCGGGGTTCTGTTATTTTTCAAAATTTTTGTTTTTTAATGTTCTTTTAAGAAAAAAATGCTTCTTTGATCTTTATTAATTTATTTATAGTTTTTTTTAAGTTTTAAGCAAAAAAACTACTTTTTCGAAATGTATGCCCCTTTTGATTTTTTTAAAAAAATTCTCAAGATAAATTTTACCCTACAGATAATAATTTATGTTTTTGGTTATTAATTCAATTGATCTACCGAAATAATATAAATAGTAAATAATAAATATTTCTGTACATTTTTTATCTAAATCAACTTTCTGACAAAAAAACTTAATAATCAAGATACATAAGTAATGCCATTTATTACATTTTTTGTATTATGCAAGTTATACATAAATTATAAAGCAAAATCTAATTTTCTATTGGATTTTGAAAATCTATCAATCACTTTAGTGACCTCTACATTAATATCACGATGAATGTTCAAAAGAGCAAGTCCAGTTAATCTTGTCTCTGACATAGTTGACCGGAGCCATGTTTTTAGTCTTCGTAGTGTGGAAAATGTCCTCTCAGCACTTGCATTACTTATTGGAAGAGTAATAAAAACAGTTAAAAGACGATTAATTAATGGAAATATTTCTTCGTCACAATTTGCCAGAATTTTCGTTACACATATGGAATTGATCAAATTATTTTCAATTTTTTCTCGATTCCATTTTTGTTTCCATAATTTAAATTCCAAACGTAATAAAGAAGAAACATCTCCTTTTTCATTTGAAAGAAGTATCTGAAATTCATCTGCTATTGTTTTAATAATATCGTCTGATTCATTTAATGAATATGAAGTTGAATTTTCCTTTAAAAAATTTTCAGGAAGTAAATATGAAAGATTAAAGCAACTAAGTGTTTTATGTGAAAAACGTGATTTTAAATCATTAATGACATTATCTAACAAAGGAATAAACACAGTTAATTTATAATACTCTTCTGTATTATTGGTTGAATAATTTGCACGTTTCGTTTGTTTTATAGAATATCTTGGAATTTTCAAATCAATATTTTGTTTTTTAGCCAAATCCTCAGATAATTTATAAATTTCTTTGAAATCAGTAGAAACATTTTTTCGACATTCTGATAGAATACTCAAAGTGTCTTTCATTATATTGGCTGCTTCGTGTAAATCAAGACACTTTTTTTGAAAACATTTACTGAGTGGAAGAGTGTAGCTAAGCATATGAGAGAGACTACAAAGTGAAATTATAATTTCACTGTCACATAGTACTGTTGCCAGGGACTTTGCTTTTCCTGAAGTATTCAAGTCTCTCCAAGTTGTTATTTCTAATAGTGCTTCAATAATGTTGGGCATATCCTGCATAAAACTCATCACGCCTTCATGTCTTTCGACCCATCTTGTTTCACATAAACCAACCAATTGATGTCCGACGTGTTTTTTTAAAACAAAAGTTCTTTTAGCAGATGCAGAAAAAAATGAAACAACTTCTTTAATTACTCCAATTAGATTTCTAATACTTTTCACGCGTGAAGATTGTGATATAGAATTATTAAGTGAATGATTATAACAAGGACATCTATGGGCATTAGGTGCAACTTTAATGATTTCACTAACAGCTCCACAAAGTTCTGACAGCATTACGCTACATCCATCAGTTCCTATTCCCACTAAATTGTTCAAATCAAGGCCAAAACTATTTAATTGCTTGATAATAATTTTACCAAGAACTTTTCCGGTTATTGAAATTTCTTTTTTTTCCCTATCATTATCACCAATTTCCTTATTTTCTTCAGGTTCTTCTAGTAAAGCTAAAGCTTCGTCAAAAGCATCTACAAACATCACGAAATCTTCCCTTACTGAATTGTTATAAATATATCTTAAAACCAAACTAATTTGTGAACGCTTTGACACATCCAGAGTTTCATCAAATATAATACTATAAAAACCACTGTCTTTTGTAATTCGTGATAGAATTTGATTTAATATTTCTTTAGCACAACATTCAATAATTTCATTTTGTATAGTTTTACTAATATATGTGGCCTTTGAAGAACTGTTTTGAAGATGGTTTTGAAGAATTCTGTCACCTGATTTAACTCGAAACTTCAAAAGTTCTCTAAAATTTCCTTCATTTAAACAAGAAATTTGATTATCAGAATTAGTCGATGATATTGGTAGTAACATACCGTCATCCCTGTGTCCTCTAAGTGGAATATTTTGTCGACATAAAAATATAATACTTTCGACAATTGGAATAAGCCGCAATCTATTCTCATTAACTTCTTTCAAACGTTTTGTATTCAGTAAGTTATGTATTTCTAAGTCTGGGTTATGATAAGTTTTCAAAAAACTTTTACTGAATTCTACAGCTTCCTTATGGTACAGTGTTTTTTCATGATGTATTAAATCTCCTGTTTCACCCATGATTTTAGCAAATTTAGTTAATGGCTGAGTTACAAATTTAAGTAAGTTAACATTTTTCTGAAAACCACCTTTGTTTTGAATATTAAAAATTGGACAATATTTACAGAATAATCCTTTTTGCGATGGAGAAAATACAAGCCACTTGAAAGAATTTAAATGTTGATGACCGACATAACGACGTGTCTGTTTTCCTCCTTTTATATGTTCTGAATAAGGAAATATGTAATCTTTCGGAGGTAACCAAGAATTTTCGAGAAGCTCATGTTTTGTAAAATCATCAATAGCCTTCCCAATGTATTGACCTATATCATTAGAGTAAAATGTTTGTGGTATTTGAGTTGTAGATAGTAATGATGTCTGGGTTGAAGAAGTACATGAAGATGATGATAGACAAGGAGTTATTAAAGATGATATTTGAGACATGTTTGATGTAGATAAATCGACTGTTAATTGAGAAGACGGTTCATCATTTTCTAAATTATTTTTTTTGGCAGGTAAAAAATATGAATTAATTGTCCTTTTTAATTTATTTTTCTGGGATAATTGCGCCTGTGAATAAAATAAGAGTAATGACAACTATAATAATTTACAATGTTAATATAGATAATTAAAATAAAATATATCCAAGTAAAACATTGATTGTTTTGTTTAAACTTTGAGGAATTGTCATTGACACACTATACGTTAATAACTTATTATTACCTACATACAGTTGTATACAGTGACCAGATGTTTGAACCTTATCAGAGAATTTGATGACAAGAATGTATTTTGAGTATTAATATCTTTTTTGTCATTTTTTAAAAATAAGTATAAGGTGTGAAAGCACAAAGAATAAAATGATTTGAGTGCGTGTTGAAAAGGTTAAACTCAGAATATTTTAAAGCGGCGTTCAAATGAAAACCCACAGAGAAGAGACCAAGAAGACATCCAAAGAAACGATTGGAAGGAAAATGTACAAAATCGAGAAGAAGAGTAGAAAGAGGTATTAGAGGCGGCAAAAACTCTTAAAGAGCTGTGATTCAAGAAAAAGTGTTAAAATTTTAAATTTTATGTTTCTCTAAATTTTTTGATTCTAAATTGAACATAAAAATAAACTATTCAACAATACTTTAATAAATAAGTTTATTATAATACTTTTACCATAAAATCTTGAGTACAAACTTAAATGATATCAGGCAAATTAATATATTAGTGTATTATTTAACCCTATGTATGATTTATTATGATGATAAGTACATTTTTACCAATAATTTATACTTCAATATCATCATAGGTAAAATATATATAATATAGATTCTTTGAGTGTCATATTAATTAAAAAATAATTAATTGTATATTATTTAAAGATTTGTTTGCATATTTATATTTATATAAGATAATAAAATAGACTTAGATACATTGTATGATTTAATAATAATAACTTAAATGATCAAATTATAAATATATTTTGTATTTTCTACAAAATATTATAAAACTACAAAAAACGTACCATTTTTAAAGATGATAAATTATGCTTTAACGTTCGTATTACAAAAACAGTTGTATAATGAAAATGCCAAACACATTGAATGCATGTAAATCCAAAAATATAAAAACAAAGAAAAAGTACTAGTGATAACGAATCGTTATTAACGATTGCCGCCTGCATGTTATCAGTAGATGCGAATAGAAATTACCAAACTATAAATAAAATTATCTACTAAATAATTTATCTAATTAACTATACTAATATGTTATAGAATGTTTTTATAAATTAAAAACAATTTTTAAATTTATATAACATTTATGACTTATTATTTTGTCGCAAAATAATATAATTGCTGAATTTTATGCTACAATAGTAAAATTTGGGGGGGGCCATCGCCCCCATGACCCCCCCCCCTTGTATCCGCGCCTGGTTCATCCCTTATACTTTGTAAGGGTATCAACTTTGTTTTTTAAATGGGAACACATATTTTGAATTTAATAAAATAATTGAGTTTTTAATTTAATAGGAAATTTCGAAATAAAACGAAATCGTTAAGTTTTCAACGATTGATCTACGTTTGGATTTCGAATGCTTTAAACAGTTTCACGATAAAACCTCATTGTATTGTGTAATTATTCACGACTCTTAATTGGAACACAACGCATTCACGGGTGAAATACGAAAACTCTAATGTATATACAAATCTATTTTTATTATTGTATAATTTACAATATAGTATAGAAACAAAAAAAATGTATGAGTATATCAATTTTTTTAATAAAAAGAACTAGTTGCTTTTTATGATATTTTATTCCAATCATTTTCCAATTGACTGGAAAAGTCACACATGGGAGATATTTCTTTTCAATTTTAAGTAAAGTATTTATTCCTAGAAATTATCTGTTTGTAGCCAATTTCACCGGATCGGAGAAGTAATATATGCGCTGAAATTGTTTTTTAAGAATTAGTTTTAAGAGAAAAAATCAAATATTTTTAAACATACTTTCATGTGTGGGTAATCGCTAAAGATAATTTTCGAGTTGTTTTCTAGACATTTACCCATAAACCCCGTACGAAAAATTTCGTGGAAATACATAAAATCCGGTGTTTTAATTTGGGGAAAAATTATCGGTTTCTTTTTTACCCCCATACTTTTTGACCAAATTCAATCAATTGAAGATTGAAGTATAACCTTCATTTCATGTGCAATGCACGAACGTATATGAAACAATTGTCGATGTGTTTTCTCAAATAACATATTTTTAATGACGTACAATTACGCATATTTAGTTTTTTTCATCAAAAATACATGGCTGTCATCGTGTTTCGACTGAAACAGTAATGTATCTTCTCGGGTTAGCCTTCACTGTGTTAGGCTCACCTTAGTGTATTTATCTTGCAAAAGTAGTATTCCGTTTAAATGTTCTGTTATCGATGAAATATATCGGTACATTGAATATACTCTATATAGTAAGTCGATAATACTTTATTGATGATTAGTTAGTTAATATTAATATTAATATAAATAATAACTTATTATTTACAAACTTGAGTTTTGGCCAAAATGAGTCGTCCGGGTTCAGTCCAATGTATACGTGAGACAATTGTGAAATGCTATACATTGATGAATTGATTAAGTCGTTGATTGTATTGAATTTACACATTGGTGTAGCCATTGTGATTAAAGTCTCAAGATCCAATAGGCCTTACTGTCATTTCGATTTGCATTCACCGTCTTTTCAATTGTTTCGATTGAATCCAACAGCTTGTAATATATTCGCTTCACAACTAAGCATGCACATTCAGGAATTTCCGAATTTTTTCCCACATCCGATAAATCACAACCTTTGTAATATAAAAAGTCTCCACCGGTACCGTGGACTTTATCGCCAAGACGTTCCGCAAAATATTACAGCAAACCTCGATAATTTTCCAATAATTTACTGACTGTTTTAAAAACTTTATCTGTCGGATCGTTTTCAACAAGAAAATTCAATTTATCCGATATATTATAATATTTATAACCAGCATTATTTCGAAAGTGTTAAATTCATTTCTTTATAAATAATCACTGTCTCCTATATACATCTCGAAAGACTCTGTGCGGATAGCTCAATTGGGAGTCTAGACGGTAACCCGAACAACAAATAAATATTAAATTCCCTCAGGCGAGCCTTCCAGGTCCGCCATAAATTACTGGAACAACTTTTTGGGGCGTTCATCGTTTCTGCCAAAATTGACCGTATCGTTTCCGCCAAATCTGAATAAGGTCGTTTTTTCGTTTCCGCCAAACTGATCTTCTACCTGTCTATCTAATAAAAAATTTGAGAACCATTCAGCTTTATCCATGATAGGCAGCTTCCCGTGCCAAAATTTTCAGCATTAATTAGTTATAGAATTCAATGTTACGTTCAGGTCTGTATTTATGATTTTTGCATGGGGTATTAATATTAATGTGTAAAATAAAGTAATTTTTTACAATATTTTTTTCCTATCGCCATCAATTGACATTTGCCCTCCTTAACCACTCTCTAAATACAGTTACATCGTTTTGGATAATTACTTATTTTATCACATAAGTACACTTTTATAAACAAAATATGGCGTTTTACCAAAAGTAAATAAATTATAATAGATAACTGTTATAGTTATAACTGTGATAAGTATGTATATATATTTTTGTAAAAAATAATAAAAATATAGTTTATAAGAAAATATAGTCATCAAAACATTGAAATAAAATTCAAATATTAATTATGTGCTTAACCCTTAAACAGTCGCGTGGGGGTCTAGTATACCCCCACATAAATAAAAACGGATGTATTATATTGCATAAAAGGTGTACATAGATATAAATTTAGGAGATGGTTTTTAAAGTAATATTGAATAGATTTTCATAAATAATTACCTTCGAAAAAAAATGTATGACTTAAAATATCCATCAAAGTTGAAATGGGTCATATTTACCCCCACGCGACTTGTAACGTTATAATTTTTTTTTGGACTTGTCTTTTTTCAAAATATCGTTTTATCGTAAATGCAATGTTATAATCGATATAATATTGTGGAATTGGGATTATGTGTATCTACCACTGTCTGTGCAATTAAGTTTTAAAAATAAATAATCTATTGAGAATTTTTACTACTCGATGATACGGAACAAATACGAACTAAACATGTAATAAATACATCCCGTCGCAATGTGGACACTAGGGTGGCCCTCAAAAATCGAATGTCTTTTTTTTTTTTACGCTACCCCTTAATTTTTTTTTAATGGTCAAAAAAATGAGCTGTGCAAAATTTGGGACCAATCCGTTAAGGTTAACCCGTGCCCCCGGGCCTATTAAGTTGAGTCGAAGAGTCAAATTTAATAGAAATAACTGATCTATGTCTCATAACTTTTTTTTCTCTTAACTTAGAATAATAAAAGTAAAACTCAAGTAAAGGAAATTTTACAAGAAATTCAAAAATAATAACTTCAATGTTGTTTTCTCAATAAATAGCCCACAAAAACACTACATACAGTAAAAAACATGTAAAAGTCTTAAAATACGTTATAACTGATTTTGTTGATTTTTAATTATTTATTTTCATTTTATTTTTTGGAAAACGCATATTCGTTTAAAAAAAGATTCTAGAAGTTTAATTTTTTATGCCAAGTACGATAATTATATTAGATTTATTATTTTATGGACAGTTAATTAATGATTAATTACAAATTTAACAAAATTGATTGTATTATTACATTTTGTCGTATCAATATATCAATTTTGGTTTACTGAATTACTTTAAGATAGTACCAATTATATTATTATTAAAGATAAGTATATTTGAGTTATTTTCGACAACTGACATAATTTGTGTCGTATAAATGCAGCAGACAATTTGTGAACACGTTAAATATATTTTACCTGTTTATTATTATATATTAAATGATACGTTTTAATCACAAATGTACAATACTTTTAGCGTCTTTTAAAGTATTACGAACTAATATTTATCTTATTGGTAATTATTCCCACGAAATAACTGGTAGTAAGTTACCATCAAATTTACAACTATTTAATCTGAACACTGATTTTTTGAAAATTGATCCATCATTTTGGAGTGCGAACAACAGTTACATAAATGCTTTATAAATGAATATGCGTTTTCCAAAAAATAAATAATTAAAAATCATCAAAATCAGTTATAACGTATTTTAAGACTTTTGCAAGTTTTTTACTGTATGTAGTGTTTTTGTGGGCTATTTATTGAGAAAACAACATTGAAGTTATTATTTTTGAATTTCCTGTAAAATTTCCTTTACTTGAGTTTTACTTTTATTATTCTAAGTTAAGAGAAAAAAAAGTTATGATACATAGATCAGTTATTTCTATTAAATTTGATTCTTCGACTCAACTTAATAGGCACGGGGGCACGGGTTAACCTTAACGGATCGGTCCCAAATTTTGCACAGCTCATTTTTTTGACCATTAAAAAAAAATTAATGGGTAGCGTAAAAAAAAAAAAGACATTCGATTTTTGAGGGCCACCCTAGTGGACACATTGATTATCGGTGCCTCATTTACAATTACCACTATTCACATTTACCCCTCCTGACCCTACTCGTATTATAATAATTAAATTGTATTGTAATATTAATAATAAAAAAATTCAATTCAGAAAAATGATTAATGTATAATGTAAATGTAAATACACATAAAACTAGTAAATATAAGCCATGTTTGAGCTCAAAGAAATACAAGAAAAATTAATAAAAATACATTTTATAATAGTAAAAGCTTTTATTTACAGTCTTAAAAATAAGATTTTGCAGTTAAAATAATTTTTTTACAAACCAAAATTTTTTAATGAAATTTCGAAAATTAAGTTTTTCTTTTTTTTTTGTAATATAATTTTTAGTAATGCATATAATTTTGTCATTTATTTATTTTTTAATTTTAATTTTTTAATTGTTATCCATATTTATATATCATATGGTAACAAATAATGTCTTTGAATTTAAAAAAATGAACTTTTTTATACATATTTTATACTTTTTTAGAAATGGGGTCTAATAGACCCCCACGCGACTATGAACGTTAAAAATAGGTACGCGCCTGCTTAAGGGTTAAAAAATATCTAATATGTGTAATAATATAATAAAAAATAAATCTATGAACTATACATTTTTCGGTAGTTGTTGGAAACTAATTCATAAATTCAAGTCTGCTAATTTATTAAACTTATCAATTGCCTCTTTTATTTTATTGAAACGGATTTCAATTTTATTCCGTACGCTTATTGAGATTACGTTATTAGAACTATATATTTTAATGTAATTTTAAGATTGAACGTTTTCTATTAAAATTTTTAAAAATATATTAATTAAAATTATTTTTTGCGGTCTTTGGAAAATATCGTCTATGGCTTTGCGTTTACAGGCGCCTGCTAATTTTTGTCACATAATATGGGATCAGAACAAGGGCCATTACATGTATGTTCTATAAGACATATTAAAACTAATTTAAAATAAGGTCAGCTTTAATCAATTTAACTAAAAATTTTAAAAATACCTGTTTGATCAATAATTTCATCAAGCTCATTCACGTGAATGGTACCTTTGCATTCTTTTACAAAACAACGCCAACGTATGTAACCCGTTTGTATTGCTTTATGTGCAAAACGAAACTTAAAATTATTCAATAAAATCATTTGTTGGCCCCGCTTACTTCTGATATATTCAAATGACATTTTAATTAAAAAAGTAAAATAAAAAAGAACTGATGGCAAAATATTTATCGATATACCGATCAATACACTGCTATCTAACTAACAATAATGGAATAGGAAAAAGTAGATAATTATTATCGGGTTATTTTGGCAAATATTTTAACCAGTGGTTCTCAAGCCTTTATTTGTAGACAGGTATAAACTATCGGTTTGGCGGAAACAATGCTTGGCGGAAACGATAATCTCCCACTTTTTGAGCTGGGAAATTAAATTGGGTCACTTTGTTACCGTATTAGTGTATTTATACATAGTAAAATATTAATTATTATTCATGACGGTATACTTTAAGTATTCATATTGTTATTGAATATGTTAATATTGTACCATAGCTATAAAAAAAAAGACGTTAAATCTACTATTGCATTCGAAAATACAATGCATAAATTGATAATTTTATATTAAAAAATCCAAAACAAGACCTTTTAACTTTTATTTTATATTAATTAGTATAAATTTCATAAGGCCAAATGAAATTTATTTTTTAACAAATGAAAAAGAGAAATACAAGAATTATTTTCATATTCATTTTTTTTTATAAATACAATAAAAATGTAGAGTAAGACGAGGTAAAAAAACTAACTGAGTATTTCTCAAATTTAATCACATATAGTATATCTTACATATCTTAGCTAGCATAAAAGTCTTTCATACGGTACATTTTTTTACTTACTAGTAAACACTTACACGGGTGCGCGCATGTTAATTTAAGTGGTGTTTAGAAATTCATATTTAGCGCGTTTTGATTTAATTTTGGAACATCAATATTTTAGATATTATTATCCTAAGAAAAAAAATTTCAAATTTCTCTCTTTATATTCTAGATATATTACTTTTTACCTATTAATTGATAAGGATCAATTTACTTTGTAATAGCTTTGGTAACAAAATTATTCATCTTACCCCAAACCATTCGTCTTCTTGCCTATATCTGAGTAAAGATGACAAAAATGAAAATTTTCAGGGATACTCATATTTTCCCTCTTGATGAAGATGGAAGAGATGATTAGGATTTTAATTATATATGTACTTAGTAGTAGATTGTATTGTAGAGAAAAGTAAATAATTAAGTCGAACATGGCAGCGATGCTGTAACAAGCAATGTTGAATTCAGATATTTTTCTGGGGTTCTTTATAAACATTGACGCAGAATATTTTTTTATTATTAGAAAGACCATGAGAAAAAAAAAGGTCTTGATATATATATATATATAAGGCCTTAAGTGATATTAACCTACAACGTTCCTCATTAATTAAAGATTTAGGAATCTTATTTGATTCCTAACTGTTATTTAACGCCCACGTAGCAGCGATAAAAAATAAAGCCTTAGCAGTATTTGAAATGATAAAAAGAAACTATTTCAATTTTCATAATCCACTTGCTTTTAAATGTTTGTATACCTCTCTAGTACGTTCCTTATTGGAAAACACTCTGTTAATTTGACACCATAATAATGCAGGACAAAATGATCATTTGGAAAGAGTGCAAAATAACGTCCTAAGATTTTTATGTTATAAATGTAATATCCCACGAACTCCTCACTTTGGGTATGGACAAATTTTAAATTTGTTAAACTTAGATACTTTAAAATCTCGCAGAAACATATCATATCAAATCTTTCTCTCCAAATTATTAAATAACGAGATTGACGACTCATACATATTAGGCCAACTTAACTTTAAAGTTAATAACTATTGCACTCGAAACAATGATTTATTTTATATACCTCAGACAACCAAAAAATATGCGTCAAGAGACCCAATAAATATATTAATATCCGTAGGCAATAGTCAATAATTTCCTTTATTATTATATATTATTATTTTTATTATTACCATATACTCTATTTATCTTTTATTATGTTTAAATTATTATTTTCATTGTATTATATTACATTATATAATTGTTATCATTGAATTATATTGTAAATTTGATATTTGTCCGTAGAAATGAACGAATAAATAAATATACTTTGTTAAATTATTCCAATATCAGCCAGTACAAAATTTTAATAATTGACTTGATAACTTAGTATTGTGGTGTTATTGAGATTATAGTTTCGGGGTGATATTTGAATGCTACTATATTATTCTACGATAATGTTTCATAAGCTTAAGACCTTCAAAAGTCGATCAAACAAAATTTATAAATGCATAAATTCAGAATCCTAATTTAAAACATAGCCCAAAAGGTTAAATATAAAAAAAAATATGTATGATAATTTCATAGATTGCTGAACTGATATTGTTATAATGATTTAATTAGTTTATGTATAAGTAGTAATATTTAGTATATATAGTAAACATAGTAACGTAAAACATTCCTAAGATTTTTAAAATCTAAATAGCGCTGTGTTCTTCCTTACGGACTAAAATTGTACTATTTAAGTTACTTTAAAAATTAATTGATCTTTATTTTGAAAATTTTTGTAAATCGTCAATTAAATAAAATTTAACTAAATGGAACCACATTTTAAAAATTCAAAAAGCGAAATACAAGAGTTTTTTACCGATTCAAGTATTTTTCTTACAGGAGGTACTGGATTTATTGGTCAAGTATTAATTGAAAAAATCCTCAGGTAAGAAACTTAGATAATTTTGAAACGTTTTAAACTTATGCAATTTCAATTAGGAAAATATAGCAAATTGATTTAATACTTACGGTTCTGTTATTTTGTTGATTTAAATATATGATTATAAATCATTATTTCCATCTTCTAGTAATGCAAGAAGTGAATATATAAATTATAAAAATATATAAATAGATTTCATTGTTTTAATTTAATACACAACAATTCACTAAATATCATCCAACTGAATTGGAGTTTTTTTTTTTAGAAAATAAAACAAGCTCATTTTAAATGCTTTCGTGTTAGATGTATAAGGCTAGACCATTAAACGACTTAAATTAAATTTTTTTATACTGTTGTGATATATGGCAATAAGAACTTTTCATAGCCAAATAATTAGATGCGAAGCTGAGAAGGTATTAATTTTACTTTGATGTGTTACTTTATTTTTTTTGTCAATCTCAACTGTCACTGGACCGATTTTGATGAACTATGTGTCAAAAGATCACAAATTGTAACTAATTGAAGACATTTACCTCAAAAATTGAAAAAAATTCCCCGTAAATTGGGGGAAATCCACAAATAAATTACATTTTAAATTTTGAAAATTTTTGGCATTTTTTCATTTTTTTTTTTTTTAACTGTAATAACATTTTTTAAAAATTAACAAATCAATATAATTATTTTTTGTAGATACCTTAGGTATTTACCTGTCATTTGATATATTTTTGTGAACATTTGACCCTTTACTTCCTCAAAGGGGTTAGGGCTTTGTGGCCAACTTGCAATGGCAACTTTTTCACAAATAATAAAATTTTTCAACTTAACTTTTGAAAGTGTTCCGGAAATACTAATACTTTTATATACAGTGTGTAAAATAAGTTCGGAATCATCGATATTTTAGAGCTGCTATTGATTTTTTTAATAATTTTTTTTTTAGAGGCTAATTGAATAATTAAATGCATCTTATACGATTATAATTAAAGTTCAACCCTAATGCAAAAGCGTAGAAATCTACCCTAACTTAAGAAATTTAAATGACAACCATTACTTTTATTTAAATCTTCGATTAGGTAATTTTATGTAATACAAAAATACTTTTAAAATTTTAAAATTGGACAAGTCATTTTTCAGATTTTGTTGTTTAAATGCATCAATATTGAGTTTGGAAGCACATTTTGCCACAGTAAAAACTAATCAATGTGTAATTCCATAGACAGAATAATCATAAATTGCTTGAATATTGTTGCTTGGTTTATCTTAATAATCGTATTAAGATATTAAATATCGTAAACATGAAACGATCAATAAATAATGTTAAATTGATATTGTACCTTATCAATGGAGTAATAAAATATCAATAAAAATATGATTTACGATTGCATTTTTTTTTACGTTTACAAGTGAAAGTAGATTGTTATCGAAAAACATGTGTGTTATCAAATTAAATATTTTAGTCAATTATAACCAATTGCATGTTAATATTCGTCAAAATGATTTTAACGTATCTTTATCATTTTGCGGCATGAAAATTTAAAGGTTGTCAGATATTAGCTTCGATGCGAAGCTGAGAAGGTATTGGTTTTACTAAGATGTTTTTTTTTTGTGTCTGTTACCACTTTTTCTCAGCTCTCACCGAACCGATTTCTTTCAATGATACGTCAAAAGATCACAAATTGTATCTAGTCGAAGACATTACCCTCAAAAATTGAAAAAAATTCCCTCGTTCCCTGTAAATGGGAGAACCCTCCAAAAAAATTACAAATTTAAAAATCGCTTATTTTCGAAATTTTTTAAATTTTTTTTACTAAAAGTTGCCGTAACTTTTTTAGATAGATGCTTGATGTGTTTACTTATTATTTGGTATATTTTTTTTGTAAATCTGACACTAAATTTGCCCACAAGGGGGGATTTAAAATGACAACTTTTTCACAAAAAATTTACTTTTTCAACTTAAATTTTGAAAGTGTTCCGGAAAGTCTGACACTTTTATATATATCTTAAATTAAAGCTAATGTAATTTACTTTATCATGAAAAAAATAAAATTCGGACTTTATTTTATCTTCAGGGTGAAAATGGCTACCAAATGCTATTTTTGTGTGAAAATTTTCGATTTTGTATTTTACATTTTTAACTTTATTATGCTATAACTTTTTGAAAAATGTATGAATCATTACAATTTTTTTATGAGAAGTAGTATTTATATAGATCTTTCATTCGACATACTGTTTTTTTAAATCGGACCATTTCCCTAAATACAGGGGGGATTCAAAACATAAAAATGCATATAGAAAGTAGAACTTTTTCAACGTAACTTTTGAAAGTGTTCCGGAAGGTCTGACACTTTTATATATATCTTAAATTAAAGCTAATGTAATATACTTTATAATGGTAAAAAAAAATTTCGGACTTTATTTTATCTTCATGGTGAAAACAGACATTAAACTTAATAAAAAAAATACGATTTTTGTAAAAAAATTCTTTTTTATATTTTTAACTTTATAATGCTATAACTTCTCGAAAGATGTATGGATCAATATAATTCTTTTTTTTGTAGATGCATGATGTCTTTACCTATCATTTGGTATATTTTTTTTATAAATCTGACTTTTTACCTGCCTACAGGGGGGGATTCAAAATGACAACTTTTTCACAAAAAATTGACTTTTTCAACTTAAATTTTGAAAGTGTTCCGGAAAGTCTGACACTTTTATATATATCTTAAATTAAAGCTAATGTAATTTACTTTATCATGAAAAAAATAAAATTCGGACTTTATTTTATCTTCAGGGTGAAAATGGCTACCAAATAATATTTTTGTTTGAAAATTTTCGATTTTGTATTTTACATTTTTAATTTTATTATGCTATAACTTTTTGAAAAATGTATGGATCAATACAATTTTTTCATGAGGAGTAGTATTCATATACATCTTTCATTTGACATACTGTTTTTTTAAATCAGATCATTTCCCTATATACGAGGGGGGTTCAAATCTAAACATGCATGTAGAAAGTAGAACTTTTTCAACTTAAATTTTGAAAGTGTTCCGGAAAGTCTGACACTTTTATATATATCTTAAATTAAAGCTAATGTAATCTACTTTATTATGAAAAAAAAAAAATTCGGACTTTATTTTATCTTCATGGTGAAAACAGACATTAAACTTAATAAAAAAAATACGATTTTTGTAAAAAAATTCTTTTTTATATTTTTAACTTTATAATGCTATAACTTCTCGAAAGATGTATGGATCAATATAATTCTTTTTTTTGTAGATGCATGATGTCTTTACCTATCATTTGGTATATTTTTTTTATAAATCTGACTTTTTACCTGCCTACAGGGGGGGATTCAAAATGACAACTTTTTCACAAAAAATTGACTTTTTCAACTTAAATTTTGAAAGTGTTCCGGAAAGTCTGACACTTTTATATATATCTTAAATTAAAGCTAATGTAATATACTTTATCATGGAAAAAAAAAATTTCGGACTTTATTTTATCTTCAAGGTGAAAATGGCTACCAAATGCTATTATTGTGTGAAAATTCTCAATTTTATTTTTTACATTTTTAACATTATAATGCTATAACTTATTGAAAAGTGTATTGATCAATATAATTTTTTTATGGGAAATACTATTTTCTAATAATCTCTTTTTTATTCTACATACTTTGTCTTAATCAGGATATTAATAAGGAACTAGCAGTTTATGAAGCTTTTGGAATAATCCACCAATTTTTTAAAATTAAACACTATCTAAAGATTTGCATCGAAGCGTTTTTTTTTGATAGTGATTTTAATCACTGTCAGATATCATTATACTTGATCCATCTATGCCACGTCAGCACTGTGCCGCGACCCCCCTAAGCTGGGTTTTTTTTTAATTGACTTTATAATTTTTTAACTCTTTATAATTTTCTGTAAAAATTAATCAATTTGAGAAATTATTATTTGTAATAACTATTGTACTACTGTCATGTTGTGCTACATTTTTTATGGAGTTTTTAATTCCTGTGGTTTAACTTTTTTTGAAAAAACTTAATATGAGGTTGTCGTGTTAGGAAAAATACAACATACTCTTCTATACACTGGATATACAGGGTGATTTTTTTATCATAACCCACTCAATTACTTGCAGAATAATAATAATTTAAACATTTTTTTTTTTTATTATTTTTAGTTACACATTATTCTTGAATTTTTAACTATGTAATACTTTTTAAGTTCATCCCTTATGCCTTGGAAGGGGGTCAACTTTGTTTTTTTAAATGGTAACACATATTTTTAATTTAATAAAATGTTTGAGTTTTTAATTTAATAGTAAATGGCATTTGAATTTTTAATATAACTTAATTCGTTTATTAGATATAATCATTTAAAGTTTCAAATTTTTGAATTAATATACAGGTATAATACACAAGGGATTACAAATACAGGTAGCTAATTGGTTTTTTATAACATCGATATTAGCAGGTACACAGCATTGTTATTATCAATTGTAGTAAGGCACATTGTTATGAGTTTATAAATACACTAACTGACAATACAGAAAGTATATCTATTGATAATCATAATTGATAATAAACAATCCGTGACTGAGACAGCAATGTCATAAAAATCCAATTAGCTACCTGTATTTACAATCCCATGTGTATTATACATGTATATTAACTCAAAATTTTGAAACTTTAAATGTTTATATCTAATAAGCTAATAAAGTTATATTAAAAATTCAAATGCCATTTACTATTAAATTAAAAACTCAAACATTTTATTAAATTAAAAATATATGTTACCATTTAAAAAAACAAAGTTGACCCCCCTCCAAGGCATAAGGGATGAACTTAAAAAGTATTACATAGTTAAAAATTCAAGAATAATGTGTAACTAAAGATAATAAAAAAAAAAATGTTTAAATTATTATTATTCTGCAAGTAATTGAGTGGGTTATGATAAAAAAATCACCCTGTATATTATTGGATTAACCCCTAATTTTCTATGTAAATAATTCATTATGTAATTAATATAGTACATGACTTAGAATGTTGATATTATTACTTTCAAAGTTACAAAGTATTCAATATTTCTTTAACTTTTTTTTTTAAATTCTATCCATTAAAATCAATAATATTAAAAAATAAAAAATATTACCTATAGAATCTTATTGCTCTATTAGCAACATTTTGTACTCATTTATATTTCACAGATTGATTTTTGTTTTGATGATTAATATTTAAATAATGTACACATTATTTCTAATTATTCACTAAAATAATTTTAATAATATCACGTGCATTTTATTTTCCGTTCATTTTTCAGTTGCGCATTGCACCTATTAATTTTAAATACCTATTTTTAAGATAAATCCATAAAAAATCTGCATGTATATGAAACTATTCAGATGAATATCATGATCATTTTACTGTATCATAAGCTCTATCTTTCCATTGGATAATTCACTACTTAATAATTCAACTACTATTCTGTTGAGATGAAGCATCGTCCAGTTACATGTTATGTCTTATTATATTACATTGCGTTTACTCAATTTTATATTTTCAGTAGAATGAACGATTCATCAATTTAAAAAATAAACAAATTTCTCTACATTTTTAAATGCATAATAAGAAATTAGTATTTCTATGGAAACAGGTTTTGTCAATAAGTTTTTTAGGAAAAATATACAGTTGAAATAGATAGCCTGTAAATATACTGATGACATTTTAAAATATATTTAAAAAGTTACTAACCTTTTACAATGAACAACAATTATCATCCTTTATTATAATAAAACTTAGTTCAAGAGGATCTAAAGAAATTTTTTTTTCATTCATAATAATAATTACAAATATTATACATAAATTTACTAATTTTTTCAAATACATGTTATGAAAAATCTTTTGCTTATTGGAGTTAAAAAAAACTCAAAATAACACATCATTTTTAAAAAAAATATGAAGAAATATTGAAAGATAAAATAGGAAAAAATACAAAAAAAATATGGATTTAAAATACATAATTCATTGGTTAGATTAATAAATAAATTATATCAAAAGTCAGTTAATAAAATAAATTTAATATATATATAATAAGTAATAATAAGTAGATTGGAAACATGTTTTGAACTAATTATTATTAATTTATTATCACTGTAATTCATTTGAATATCAATGCCATAAGCAATTGAAGTTGTAATATTTCTAGTATAACTTAAATATGCACCAACCAATAGTTTATTTATTAAATTGAATATATCAACAAATTGCTTGTAAATCTTTATTTCTTCTTTGCACTATAACAATTATATTTCATTCTCTCATAAAAAGGAATTTTTACATACTTTCTTTCCCTCCTGATTTATGTTGGTGGTAAAAAAACAATTTTACTTGTTTTTTCTTTTTTTCTTTTTAGCTTCGATGCGAAACTGAGAAGGCATTGGTTTTACTAAGATGTGTTAATTTTTTTTTTTTGTGTCTGTTACCACTTTTTCTTAGCTCTCACCGAACGGATTTCTTTCAACGATACGTCAAAAGATCACAAATCGTATTTAGTCGAAGACATTACCCTCAAAAATTGAAAAAATTTCCTTCGTTCCCCGTAAATGGGGAAAACCTCCAAAAAAATTACAAATTTAAAAATCGCTAATTTTCGAAATTTTTTCAATTTTTTTTACTAAAAACTGCCGTAACTTTTTCAAAAATTAACATATCAATATAATTTTTTTTTTATAGATGCTTGATGTGTTTACTTATTATTTGGTATATTTTTTTTGTAAATCTGACACTAAATTTGCCCACAAGGGGGGATTTAAAATGACAACTTTTTTACAAAAAATTAACTTTTTCAACTTAACTTTTGAAAATGTTCAGGAAGGTCTGACACTTTTATATATATCATAAATTAAAGCTAATGTAATGCATTTTATTATGGAAAAAAAAAATTTGACCTCTGGACTTGTCTTCGTGGTGAAAATGGCTACCAAATGCTATTTTTGTGTGAAAATTCTCGATTTTATTTTTTATATTTTTAACTTTATAATGCTATAACTTATTGAAAACACAATTTTTTTATGAGAAATAATATTTTTTAATATTTCCTTTTTATTTTGACATACTTTATCTTAAGCAAAATATTAATAAGGAACTAGCAGATCATGTAGCATTTGGAATAATCCACCAATTTTTTAAAATTAAACACTATCTAAAGATTTGCATCGAAGCGTTTTATTTTGATAGTGATTTTAATCACTGTCAAATATCATTATACTTGATCCATCTATGCCACGGCACCACTATGCCGCGACCCTCCTGTCCTGGGTTTTTAAATTTGCAATTATTTAATCTTTAAACAGTCGCATAGGGGTCTAGAATACTTCCACATAAATAAAAACGGATGTATTATATTGCACAAAAGGTGTACATAGATATAAATTTAGGAGATGGTTTTTTTTTTTATCCCTTTCGGGGTAAAATTTATCTGCAATATTGCTGTGTATTATTATATTTAAATAAATTAACAAAAGGATTGTTGCTAAGTATGTAAAAGACGCATAATGATAGTTTTGTATATTTCTGGAAGTTTGTCAACAATTTACGGTTTAATGCATCCCTTCCAGCCGTTATGTTTTATAATAATAATAAATTCTCAGGTGGTGATGAAATTTCAAATTGCTTTTCCAAATACTTTTCTAGTGTCTTCAACTCACCCAATACTACATCTAATAATTTAAATAAAATTTTTTTATTTAAAACTGTCATAACATTTTTAAAAATAACCAAATCAATAATTTTTTTTTTATAGATGCATTATGTCTTTACCTTTTATTTGATATATATCTTATAAATCTAACCCTTTATTTACTCACAAGGGGGATTTTAAATGAACACTTTTTCACAAAAAAATAACTTTTTTAACTTAACTTTTGATAATGTTCCGGAATGTTTGACACTTTTATATATATCTTAAATTAAAGGTAATGTAATGTATTTTATTATGGAAAAAAAAATGTCGGACTTTAATTAAACACTATCTAAAGATTTGCATCGAAGCGTTTTTTATGATAGTGATTTTAATCACTATCAGATATCATTATACTTGATCCAACTATGCCATGTCATCACTGTGATGCGACCCCCCTGTGCTGGGTTTTTTTATTATCGAATATATGAATTGTATTGAATGTTAAACTATTTTATTTTTTTCTTAATAATAAAAAAAATATCTTTAATAATAAACAACCTTGAAAATATTCAAATTATTAAATTTAGTTTTTTTGGGAGAGGGAGGGATTGTAGTGTAATTTTGAAATGTAAACACTTATAATTTTAAAATTTTGATTTACAGATCATGTTATGTCAAACATTTATACTTACTAGTCAGGCTTAAAAAAGGAAAAGGACCATACACTCGTATGGAAAAAATGTTTAATAATCCTGTAAATTTATATTAACGTTTTACTTTGATTTTAAAATTACTAACAAACATAAAATAAAGCAATTTTATTTATTTTTATTAGTTATTTAAAATATTGCGGGAGTCACAGCCAGATTTCATCAGCAAGATAACATTAATCAAGGGAGACTGTGCAGAACCAAATTTGGGTTTGGAGAAAAAAGACGAAGAATTTTTAATTAAAAATATTAACATAGTAATTCACTGTGCTGCTACAATCAATCTAACCGGAGCTCTTAAACAAACAACGTTCATTAATATTAGATCTACGAGAGACTTATTATTGATAGCCCAGAAAATGACCTGCTTAAAAGTAAGCAAAATAATTTTATATAAGACAATATTTTTGATTCGAAAATACATATAACTTAGTTCAAACTTTCAAATGGACAACACAAAAATAATTAAAATCAAATTATGAATTAAGTTTAGAGTTCTGAGAAAAAATTCTTGGAAAAATTATTGCTATTCATTTAGTTAATAATTTTATCTATTAACGTTAGGTAAATTTATAAAAAAGTCAAACTTACGTTTTAAATTAAATTAATAGATTATTAAATAAAATTACACTATTGTTTTATGTCAACGCAAAGTAAGGTTATATTCTTGATGTTCAGTAAATATTAGTTATATGTAATGTACATTACGTCTGACCTGAATCCTAGTATAGTTGTTTAGTAGGTATATCCAAGTGAGACAGAGTTGGTTGGCTATGATGACAATTGGCGAAGACGGGTCGTTGGATAAAATAAGTTAAGTTGTAAATAATATAAATAAGACAAAAGTAATAGTATTGATAACTATTTCTATAACGGCCACTCAAACACGACTGCCCTTTGTTGGTTCGACGTCTGTAGCTCCGGGCTACAGACGAGTAGAATTGTTACATCAGGATCTCCCTCTATGCTAATTAATATGTATTACGAATTAAGTAAATAAAAATAAAATGTGTATAATATAAGTGAAGAGAACTTATTTATTTTCCATTTAATGCAAATTTCGAATAATTTTACAGTCATTCGTTTATGTATCAACTGCGTTTTCAAACACAAATCAAGAAGTAAGTAAAGAAATTATTTATGAAAGCCCAATGAAAGGAGAAACTTTGATTGGTATGGCTGAGACAATGTCTGATTCTTTCCTGGACTCCATAACAAAACAGTAAAAATTAGTATTAGTTTATATCGTGTAAAGTAACATTGAGTAAGTCAAGCCAATCACCAAATTTTCATAGTATGACTCACGAGTTTTATGCTTCTATAATTTTCACTCTTCTCTATGTCTCCTTTACCTTTAAATATCTGCATCACAGTACTATTCTTCTATTCATTTGGTATTTTCGTTTTTAATAGGATTTTATTACAAAGATCCTTTAACCCCTTATACCAACACCTCCTAATATATTCCATACTTCTACTGGCACTTAATTTGGTCCTACTGATTTATTCTTTTTCATTAATGCTTAGTCTTTCATATCTCTTTCTCGATAATTAAATCTACCAGTCCCTCATTGCACAAGATACCCTCTAAAGTCTCTATCAAAATCAATTTGGTAAAAATAATCGAATAAACGATATCACTCGGAGTATAGCTCTGGTATTTAGTTCGCAGAAATTATTATGGTTTACCAATATTCTTGTGATAATATTTCTAAAAGGTAACGTGTTTATTTATTATTAAAGATGCATTGGGACATGGCCTAACACGTACACTTTTTCTAAATGTATTGCCGAAAATTTAGTGAAAGAATATGGACAACATTTACCAATTACTATTGCTAGACCTTCGATTGGTAATTTTTTCTATTTTAATTTTAATATCCTAGTTTTACGTGGAAAAGGAGATAGTTCAATATATTGCCAATAGGAGTAATCTACAAATTACAATATACATTTATAATATTTTCAGTTGGGTCCAAAGAAGATAAGTCTATTATAATTTAACATAGCGATTGATTAAATATGCCTTACGCAACATCTTAAAAGTATATAACATATTTTAATTTTTTGTCCTGTCAGAGGATAATTGAGGGCAGTGTGGCCTGAGGGTATTCCTTAGCGTGGATCTAATGATATTGGATCCTGCATCGTACAAATATTTGTCAAGTTTGCAGATTAATTAGAAAACGTGATTTCATAGTTAGTCTTAACATAAAAGTGGAATAAAGAAAAGCGGGCAACTAGTACACTAACTAGTGTGGGACAAAAAAAAGTAACTAGGACGTTCCCACTTTATATTATCCAGAAATTTCAAATGAGCTAGCTAGAGCTTTTAAGAATTTTGGATTGAATTTAGTAACATCTAAGTATTATAATTTAAGAGATTTATTAGGTAATCCTAAAAATAAAGTAGAAATAAGGGCATTAATAATGTGTGCATTTACAACCAAATCTATAAAATTACAAAATGAAAATTTTCAAGTCATTTAAAAAAAAATTTTTAATAATAATTTGATAAAAAACCAATTAACAGAATAATATAACAAAAATGTTTAATAGTTATTGGAACAAATAATTTTTTAATTTATTATTAAGTTGATTAATAGGTTTATTATTTTATATTTCTAAATAAAATTAAAAATTATTTATTTACAAGTATATCTTTCATAGATAACTAACTACTCATATTTATATTATAGTTATCCCAACATGTGATGAACCATTTGCTGGCTGGTTTATCCCATCGTTAAGTGTTCCAACTCTGATTTTCGGTGTAACTATTGGTATCGTTCACGTGTTGTTTGCAGATCCTGAAGCACCTGCTGTAATCGTTCCGGCCGATAAAGTTGCTAATATGATTATTACTTGTGCTTTTCATGCATCTAAAAAACGGTATTGATTGATTGATATATTTTTTTTTTCTCCTATCCAAGAAAGTTAAAATTTGTAATTTTTTTGTGTTTTTCCATTTGTGATGACTTATTTTATTTAATTTTTTTATTTTAATATTTTTAACAATTTAAAGTTTTTCTTTTTTTTAATTAAATGTTTTCTCATATAACTTTATTTCATTTTCATTAAATATTTTGATGAAATAACGTTATTTCCTTTTAGAACTTAATTTATATTATTTTTTATTATTCGTCAGGCTTTAGTTATCATCGTCCCAAAATGTAGGGGTTGGAGGAGTTCGCCCCTCAAAAATTTCAGTTAAGTTTTATATACAGCGTGGCCCACCACTCACTGACAACTTAAATAACTTTTGATCCAGTTAATATTTTTAGCTGATTTTTTTTTTAAATAATAGTTATACGTTAGGTCTATAGCTATATCTCAATAATTAATTTTTTTACATTTTATTAAAAATATTAATTATTTTTAAATTTTAAATAAAATGTAAAAAAAAAATCTAAGATAGCTATTTTGTAGAGTAGAATTTAAGAAAAATTTTAGTAAAAAAATATCTTATTAATATTCAGTAGTAAATATTCTGTAGCGTTTTGAAGTTTGTGAAAATTTGAATTTTCATGTACTATTTTACGGTATTAAACATTGAAATACGTATTGAGAAAAGGACAGAAGAAAACGCTATCTTTTCATGATTACTATAATTTGGAGGTGTGTAACTTTTTCCATGAAAATGACTTATACTTTTGAATGAGAGTGATAAGTAATAATTGCCTTATCTAATTTCTTATCATGGTATTAATGCCAAGTTTGTAAGGTATACACATGTATACACAGTAATCATGAAAAGATAGCGTTTTCTTCTGTCCTTTTTTCAATACGTATATGAATGTTTAATACCATAAAATAATACACGAAAATTCAAATTTTCACCAACTTCAAAACGCCACAGAATATTTACTACTGAATATTAATAAGATATTTTTTTACTAAAATTTTTCTTAAATTCTACTCTACAAAATAGCTATCTTAGATTTTTTTTTTACATTTTATTTAAAATTTAAAAATAATTAATATTTTTAATAAAATGTAAAAAAAATAATTATTGAGATATAGCTATAGACCTAACGTATAACTATTATTTAAAAAAAAAATCAGCTAAAAATATTAACTGGATCAAAAGTTATTTAAGTTGTCAGTGAGTGGTGGGCCACTCTGTATATTTATATAAAAAAATATGGGGAATAGTTTTTTGTTTGCGTTTATCTATAATCACCACCACCACATTTATCTACATATTTTTGTCTACATTTCCGCCATATAATAGTATAATGTTTTTCACAAATTAAGTCACAAATCATATAATAATAAAAACATATGTAGTAATTAGATGAGGAAGTATTGAATTACGTCGATTTTAGTATAATATAAGCTTTACAATTGTAGTAAGCAATTTTTGAACTCTTAAGCAATATAATAATTCCATATAAAAGGGAAATGCAGGGTAAGCAAATTAATAATGGTGGGAAAAAGAATATAAAAGGGAAACATGAAAAGTATAGGGAGACGAGACGAGACGATACTGGACATTTTTGTCGAAGAAACGTCGAGTTACGGGTTAGGTCGTTGACGTAAGAATAACTTTATACTCTTTTTTTTATAAGATTTAATTAATTTTGTGTTAAATTATTATATTATATTTTATTTGACTTTTGTGTTTGATACATTTCGTAAATAAAAAAAAACTATTTAAAAATCTGGACTTAGCGCAAATATATAATATTCACGGTGATCTCGAATGTGTGTGTGTGTGTGTGTGTGTGCGGCTAGAGTCTAGGTTGGACTGCTGGTCCTTTAGTCAATCTTAATAATTAGTGTACGAGCTGGCTAGTGTTTGGGCTTAACCGTCCTTTAGTGGGTATAGTAAAAAGGTAGTTGTGCTGGTGGCTGACAAGGAGCCACCCTTCAGTCTGCTACTTTTGAGCTAGACTGTGCTGACGGGTCTAAACTCTACCCCTTTAGTAGTCCACTAATTAGAGAGATTGGGGCTGATCAGTTTATCCAACGGGAGAACTCGAGAAGAGCTCGGACGACGAACTCGTCGTCAATATATATATATATATATATACATAAAACTTTAATAAACCTTTGTGTCTACGTTGGGGCACTACCGACGTACGACACATAATAGAAAAAAAAAAGAAAATTCACATCATTAAACTTTTTTCCTAATTAAATTTTAACCATTTGATTAGAGTAATCTTTATAATCTATACTAATCTGTGTAAAGAACACAGAAATAACGATTATATAGGACTCTTAAGATAATAATAACAGATAATCCTATAAAATTAACTTTACGTAATAACAAATTTTCAAATTATTAAGTCATATGATTTCAAATAGAATTTTAATTTTGTGAATAAATGTATAAATTCGATTTATAATTTATAATTTAAGTAGGTTTTTGTTTGTTAAATTGTTATTTATTTGATTTTACTAGAAACCAAGGCACTCCAATTCAAGTATTTAATTATGTGCCCAATAACATAGCTCCTCCGTTTTCATATGGAAAGGGTTTTCAAACGTTCATACGAGTTATAAAAGAAAATAATATTGTATCTGATAAAGTGGTAATTACATAATGTGGTTTCTTCTAGTATTATTATGAAAAATTAAATAAATTTAAAATTTTTCTTTTTGACATTTTTTTAGATATGGGTTCAAAGTATTACAGTTACTAAATCAAAAATATATTACACCCTACTTTTTTTCTTTAACTATTATGTACCAGCATTCATTTTTGATGTAGTTCAGTGGTGTCGTGGAAAAAAGTTCAGGTAAATTACTTTTGGACCAAAGTATTATAAATTTATTTTCCTGATGAAGTCTAATAATTTGCAAAGCCATCGAAACGAATACATTTATCAGTATATTCGATAATTATTTGTGTTTCTAATTTATAGTCATTTTTTTACGCTATTTGTAGCCCATTAAGTGTCAGAGAGATCTTCGCCAAAAAGTAGGTTTTTAACTTTGATTATTCTAGGACTGGTGGTGAATTCATCATCGGAATAAGAGATGGTGACTCTAATTACTGAACTAATATTTCACTCTGCAATATGGGCCCCTTTGACCTTGTCTCAAATTCATGACAACAGGCATCAGGCGCCTTAGAAGTTAATTGGTTTTAACGTTTTTCATATAAATTATATTTATTATACGGTGTAAAAAATGTTTAATAACTTAATCCAAATTTATAAAATTGCAAATAAGGGGTTTTTATTATCAAAACAATTATATTTATGTTTTTTTCTAAATTATTATGTTTGATGCTTTTTTTATGTAGATAGCGTACTGCCTATGAACTTCTTAACCCTAACTACTATATATTCTGAAAATTATCGGAAATGTCTCTCAGAGAAATTCATAAATATTGTTTTAGAGGACCGTGTAATTATATGCTTAACATGAGTCAAACTGACAATGAATTCGTAACGTATTGATATAGTTATATTTACTGTTTTTTGTTTTACAGTTTCGTTTTTCAACATAATAATGATAATGTTTTCTAGCCATCAACGATTTTTTTTTTTTAACTGTAAGAACCTTGATTACTATGTTTTCTTCACTTATATTATACACGTTTTATTTTTATTTACTTAATTCGTAATACATATTAATTAGCATAGAGGGAGATCCTGATGTAACAATTCTACTCGTCTGTAGCCCGGAGCTACAGACGTCGAACCAACAAAGGGCAGTCGTGTTTGAGTGGCAGTTATAGAAATAGTTATCAATACTATTACTTTTGTCTTATTTATATTATTTACAACTTAACTTATTTTATCCAACGACCCGTCTTCGCCAATTGTCATCATAGCCAACCAACTCTGTCTCACTTGGATATACCTACTAAACAACTATACTAGGATTCAGGTCAGACGTATTGTACATTACATATAACTAATATTTACTGAACATCTAAAATATAACTTTACTTTGTGGTTAACATAAAACAATAGAGTTGACACAAGGGTTCTTTTCTTATAGCAGTTGACCCCTGTTTGTCTTTTACCCAGAAACTTTACTTAATTATAACCTACAAAATATACATCATCTTGATGCAAGATGGGCCAATGTCACGTTTTGTCGAAATTGAGATTATCAGGCCAATCTCATTTTTTAATTTTTGTTCTTCTGTTGATAAAACGGCCAATGTATTCGAACAAATGTGACCAACTTAGCGTAAAGAATGGCCATTTTGATTATAATGAGGAGTTAGTTTTGTTATTTTGAAAATAAGGTTTATCAATACATTGGCCATATAACCTTACAAGAATATAACCTTACTTTGTCGTTGACATAAAACAATAGTGTAATTTTATTTAATAATCTATTAATTTAATTTAAAACGTAAATTTGACTTTTTTATAAATTTACCTAACGTTAATAGATAAAATTATTGACTAAATGAATAGCAATCATTTTTCCAACAATTTTTTCTCAGATCTCTAAACTTAAGTTAAGTTTAGTTTAGTTTTAGTTAAGTTGAAAAAGTTAATTTTTTGTGAAAAAGTGTTCATTTTAAATCCCACCTGTGAGTAGATAGAGGGTCAGATTTATAAGATATATACAAAATGAAAGGTAAAGACATAATGCATCTATAAAAAAAATTTATTGATTTGGTTATATTTAAAAAAGTTATGGCAGTTTTAAATAAAAAAATTTTAAAAATATCAAAAATAATCGATTTTTAAATTTGTAATTTTTTTGGAAATTTCCCTCATTGTCGACCACTTACTTAAGACATTATATATTTAGAATTTCTATTCTTTAAGTGCATTTTTTTAGAGTTATGTCACTATGTACTAAATTTGATAACATGTTACTTGAAATGGGGTCAAATTTTTCTACAAAAATATTCCATTTTGATGATACGAATTTGATGTCTCTCATTCAACAGCAAAGCGAAGAAGACAAACATTTATTTGATATGGATTTATCTAAGTTGAATTGGGAAAAATACGCCCTAAAGTCTATTTTAGAAGGTCGTGAACATTTATTAAACGAAGTTGGAAATACTGAAGCAGGCTACAAAAGACAAATGCAGTAAATATATTTTCTTTTATAACTAATACACAATAAAAATAGAATTTCATACTCGTAATCTTTTTATCGAACAAGTATGAATAATTTTCGAATTAAATTAAAACTATAGTGATATAATATAAAATAATGCATACAATAATATAAGACAGTATTTATAAACTATATAGAAGTATCTTACTATTAATATACCGAAATATTTTAGTAAAAATATTACATTTATAATCTTGCATTTTAATTGCTACCATATCACATTAAAGTTTAAACTATTAATACTGTTTCTTAATATCGAATTCTACTCTGATATGTAGATTTGAAAATATATATTTTTAACTTGATATTAATTACGTTTTTCAGAATAATGATTGCTTATAACACGCTTAAAGGTATTATGTTCACGATTTTGTTTTACTTGATGTACAAAATTTTTAATGTTATCTTTAATTAAGTTGTACTGCTGTGACGACATTAAAAATAAATATTAAACTTTCATTATTTTTCATTATTGTCTTTATTTTTCTATAAATATAAATTGAAAGATGCGCAATGCAAAGCATTAGGCATATTACGACATAATAATATTTATATTACATAAATAAATTTATAAAATTATGTCAGTTTAAATTTTTCAAGTATAAAACGTATCTTATAGATAAAATGCCATTCAATTTTTTAGTAGATGACAGATATTTATTTTTTTATTTTTTGTTCTAAACAAAACTACCATTATGCGTCTTTTACATACTTAGCAACAATCCTTTTATTAATTTATTTAAATATAATAATACATAGCAATATTGCTGTTGGGTAGAGTGTGGCACTCGTGTATGACCGGTTCGAACGTGTTCATGCTTCGTCCGGTCATCGTCCCTTCCTCAGCAAAGCAACACAACGTTTTTTGTACGTCAACAGTACACATGTCTCGCGCCTCTTAAAATCGGCACCGTGTAATTATTAATCGCTCCATATAGTCTTTTTTGAGTTTTGTATATTATTACTTTACATTCATTGTGATTTACTTTGCCACTCTCTCCGAATCTCCTCAAGTCATCAGATAAGCTATTAATTTATTATCATTTTGTTATTTTATCATATCATAAGATTAAATATTGTTTTAGTATGTAAGTTATCCCCCTTACCCCCTTTACTTTTAAGAGCTTTACTTGCAGAACTACAAATATATAATTCATAATTTATACATTCTTTAGCAGGTGTACCTATTTATTACCCCCTCTTATTTCCGCATTTTGATTTCTACAAAATAAACAACACCACCGCAAAGTAATAGGCCATTCCCCTTTAATATTCAGGGGCTGCTTGTTACAATTGCAGATAAATTTATATTATAAATTGACACTTAAAGCTGACAATGAATCTTACCACCAGAATCGTTGCACTTATAAACTGCGCAAGTAAGCATTATTGCAAAATATAAAAAAAATTAAAAATAAGTGTCAATTATGTTTGTTTATAATCACTACATATAAAGTCGATTTGAAAAATATTTATTAAACATCATTAAACAAACAAATACTCAAATATAGGTTAAAAAGTTACAAATCTCTACTATGAGACACACAGAAGAGAAATGAAGAACTTTTATTAGCAAGTTAAAGTGGTGTTAATTCAATTTTAGAACATGAAAAAACAAGTCTGTACACTAGTTAATATAGCTCACATTTAATTAACAAGGTACAAAATCCTAACTTTTCATTAAAATACAAAAGATACAAAAAAAAATTACATAGAATCTAAAATAAGTATCCATGATTAAACTTATTACAAAATAATATTATAATGCATTGTCTTAATGTAATTAATATTATTATTACTTAAAAATTGTGTCTAACATTGATATTATATCAGAATTATCAATTTAAAAATCGCGCGACTTTAAAATGCATTCGGCAGCGGTCGTATTTTACCGATCGTATACGAATGCACAAAAACACAAGTCGATGCACATGCGCGTATTACGACGAAAATGCAGACTATGATCGAGCATACTTCTTATTAAATTTACTATGGATAGAAGTATCATATTATCAAATCAATAAAAGTGGTTCCCATTTAGAAAAATATTTTTACCCCGGAAGGGATAAAAAAAAAACCCAGCACAGGGGGGTCGCGCCACAGTGGTGACATGGCATAATTGGATCAAGTATAATGATATCTGACAGTGATTAAAATCACTATCAAAAATAAACGCATCGATGCAAATCTTTAGATTGTGTTTAATTTAAAGAAATTGGTGTATTATTCCAAAAGATACATGATCTGTGCCGCGACCCCCTTTTGCTGGGTTTTTTAATGCTATAATTTATTGAAAAATGTTTGGATCAACACAATTTTTTTTTAAATTAAAGTATAATACATAAAATTTAATTTAAGATATATATAAAAGGGTCAGACTTTCCTGAACATTTTCAAAAGTTAAGTTGAAAAAGTTCTACTTTCTATATGCATTTTTTATATTTGAAGCCCCCCGTATATAGGGAAATAGTCTAATTTAAAAAAAAAGTATGTCCAATGAAAGATGTATATAAATACTAATTCTCATGAAAAAATTGTATAGATTCATATATTTTTTAAAAAGTTATAGAACTTTAAAGTAAAAAATGTAAATTATAAAATCGAGAATTTTCATACAAAAATAGCATTTGGTAGCCATTTTCACCATGAAGACAAGTCCAGAGGTCAAATTTTAAGGGTATTTTTTTTTTAAGGGTAATGTCTTCGACTAGATACGATTTGTGATCTTTTGACGTATCGTTGAAAGAAATCCGTTCGGTGAGAGCTGAGAAAAAGTGGTAACAGACACAAAATAATAAAAAAAAAAAACACATCATAGTAAAACCAATACGTTCTCAGCTTCGCATCGAAGTTAAAATGTATTGAACTTCATAATATTGTAGAGTTTTATAGGCTTAATAATTTTTCTCGTTACAAAAATTAAAAATGTTCAATAATTTCTGAGAAAATGAGTGTCATACCAGATTTCGATCACCTGTATAGTATGTATAATATATTAATATTATTTTTTACTATTTTATTAGTATGTTATCTAATTTGAATAAAGATAATGACGGTGTTAGTCAACCATTTGAAACTGAAGTGTTACATGTAAATGAGCTAATGACTATGATTCCTAAGTGATGATGTTATATTATTTTTACAATTTATGAACAAAAATACTAAATATTTTTTTAAACTTTTTGCAGTGATGGTCCATTGTTATGGATAATAAATGAAACAACCCTAGATTATTTTTCATTCAATCAAAACTTAGAAAATAACGATTTCTCAAAATCAAAACAATTTTATATAAAACAATTACGGAGTGTTAAGCATTCCTATTATAGATATTTCAGATTTAAGTTTATCAAAACTAAATTAATAAATAATGAACCGTTAAATCGTACATTTTTGGTATATTCCAATAGTAATGGTAATGTTTATTGTGCACCATGTCGATTATTTAGAAGTAAATCTGTATTTACTACAGTTGGTCTTAGTAACTGGAAGAAAGACGAAGAAAATATATCAGAGCATGAAAATTCAATTACTCATAAATCTTGTACTCTCAAAATGTCATAAAGAGGTTCAGTAGTAGAACGAATTGATAAATAACTTATTTTACAAGTGGAAACACAAAAAATGTATTGGGAAAAAGTTTTGACAAGAGTAGCAGCTGTTGTAAAATCTTTATGTTTTAGAGAATTTCCATTAAGAGGACATGATGATAAATTTTGCTCTACTCATAGTGGTAATTTTATTATGAGTTTAGAGCTAATTGCCGAATTTGATCAATTTCTTTCCAATCATATTGCACAATATGCTAATCAAGGAAAAGGGAGTAATTATTATATCTCTTTTGGAACTTTTGAAAAATTTGTAAGCAAAATCCAAAAATGTAACTGTTAAAAGAGTATCAGACATTCGCTGGTCTGAACGTTATGATGCTTGTCTAAGTCTTTCTTGTAATTGCAATGAAATTATAAAAGCTTTAATATGATTATAAATACTTCAATAGAAAAATCAAAACCAAAATGCGAAGCCAAAGGTTTGTTAAAAAATCTGAAGAGTTTAGAAATGGGTATACTAACAATACTTTGGAATGATATATTAGAAATATTCGATTGTATTAGTAAACTAAGTGGATGGTGTTCAAATTGATTTAACAATAGTTGTGTCTTTGTACAAATAATTAATTAATTATATTGGAGATTTACGAAATAGTTTTTCACTCTCTGAAATATTAGGTAAAGAAATATCTGGTGTCAAAGATACAAAATTCAACGAAAAAGAAAAAACATAATGCCTTATGGAGAGTCAAATCAAGATAATCTAACATTACAGCAGAGCGATTCGTTTAGAATAAACACTTATACTGTTATATTAGATTCATTACTTACAATACTAAACAAAAGAAAGAATGCTTATGATACAATTAATATAAAATTTGGTTTTTTATTTAACCTAACTGAACTGCCACTATCCAAGGTAAGAGAAAAAGCTGCACAATTGCTACAAGAATATCCACAGGACCTTGGTTCANTAATACTTCAATAGAAAAATCAAAACCAAAATGTGAAGCCAAAGGTTTGTTAAAAAATCTGAAGAGTTTAGAAATGGGTATACTAACAATACTTTGGAATGATATATTAGAAATATTCGATTGTATTAGTAAACTAAGTGGATGGTGTTCAAATTGATTTAATAATAGTTGTGTCTTTGTACAAATAATTAATTAATTATATTGGAGATTTACGAAATAGTTTTTCACTCTCTGAAATATTAGGTAAAGAAATATCTGGTGTCAAAGATACAAAATTCAACGAAAAAGAAAAAACATAATGCCTTATGGAGAGTCAAATCAAGATAATCTAACATTACAGCAGAGCGATTCGTTTAGAATAAACACTTATACTGTTATATTAGATTCATTACTTACAATACTAAACAAAAGTAAGAATGCTTATGATACAATTAATATAAAATTTGGTTTTTTAATTAACCTAACTGAACTGCCACTATCCAAGGTAAGAGAAAAAGCTGCACAATTGCTACAAGAATATCCACAGGACCTTGGTTCATCATTCTCTAATGATTGTATACACTTTTGTGATCATTTATATGAGATACAAGAAAAAATTTGGCTCTTACTGTTTTAGATTTAAATAAAATAGCTAAAAATCCCAATATCTCTATTTTGTATCCTTATATTGAAATAGCATTACGTATGTTTTTATGCTGTTCAGTATTAAATTGCTCTGCAGAACGATCCTTTAGTATACTAAAGAGAATAAAATCGTACTTAAGATCAACAATGGATGACGATAGAAATAATTCGTTGGCTATTCTAAGAATTGAATCTGAAATTACCAAATCACTAAACTATGAGGATGTAATTAAAGAATTCACTTTACAGAAGGCTCATCGTAAAATTTTATCACAAATGTATAATTATATATTTGTTAATATATATATAANTAAGAATGCTTATGATACAATTAATATAAAATTTGGTTTTTTAATTAACCTAACTGAACTGCCACTATCCAAGGTAAGAGAAAAAGCTGCACAATTGCTACAAGAATATCCACAGGACCTTGGTTCATCATTCTCTAATGATTGTATACACTTTTGTGATCATTTATATGAGATACAAGAAAAAATTTGGCTCTTACTGTTTTAGATTTAAATAAAATAGCTAAAAATCCCAATATCTCTATTTTGTATCCTTATATTGAAATAACATTACGTATGTTTTTATGCTGTTCAGTATTAAATTGCTCTGCAGAACGATCCTTTAGTATACGTCTTTTATTAATAGTTATTTAATAGTCTTAAAATACGTTATAACTGATTTTGTTGATTTTTAATTATTTATTTTCATTTTATTTTTTGGGAAACGCATTTTCGTTTAAAAAAAGATTCTAGAAGTTTAATTTTTTATGCCAAGTACGATAATTATATTAGATTTATTATTTTATGAACAGTTAATTAATGATTAATTACAAATTTAACAAAATTGATTGTATTATTACATTTTGTCGTATCAATATATCAATTTTGGTTTACTGAATTACTTTAAGATAGTACCAATTATATTATTATTAAAGATAAGAATATTTGAGTTATATTAGACAACTGACATAATTTGTGTCGTAAATGCAGCAGACAATTTATGAACACGTTAAATATATTTTACCTGTTTATTATTATAAATTAAATGATACGTTTTAATCACAAATGTACAATACTTTTAGCGTCTTTTAAAGTATTACGAACTAATATTTATCTTATTGGTAATTATTCCCACGAAATAACTGGTAGTAAGTTACCATCAAATTTACAACTATTTAATCTGAACACTGATTTTTTGAAAATTGATCCATCATTTTGGAGTGCGAACAACAGTTACATAAATGCTTTAAATACTATAAGTAAATTACGAGTCATTAATGATACAGCCTAGCGTGGCATTAAATTAATCTAAGACTACATTAATATATTAACTACAAATGAAGAACAGAAACAATACGTTTTACAAATAGTAAGTAATTATCGGAAAAATTCCCTAATTGTAAAAAAAGTACATTATCAAAATATATATATTATAATATATATACATATATTATAATAATATAATTTAATTATTGTTAAAATATTTTTTTTAAAGTTATTATTATTTAAAAAAAAATAAAATAAAAATTGTTAATAACAATTAAATTAAACTGTTAGGTTTGTAATTAATCATTAATTAACTGTCCATAAAATAATAAATCTAATATAATTATCGTACTTGGCATAAAAAATTAAACTTCTAGAATCTTTTTTTAAACGAATATGCGTTTTCCAAAAAATAAAATGAAAATAAATAATTAAAAATCAACAAAATCAGTTATAACGTATTTTAAGACTTTTACATGTTTTTTATTGTATGTAGTGTTTTTGTGGGCTATTTATTGAGAAAACAACATTGAAGTTATTATTTTTGAATTTCTTGTAAAATTTCCTTTACTTGAGTTTTACTTTTATTATTCTAAGTTAAGAGAAAAAAAAGTTATGATACATAGATCAGTTATTTCTATTAAATTTGACTCTTCGACTCAACTTAATAGGCCCGGGGGCACGGGTTAACCTAAACGGATCGGTCCCAAATTTTGCATAGCTCATTTTTTTGACCATTAAAAAAAAATTAAGGGATAGCATAAAGAAAAAAAAGACATTCGATTTTTGAGGGCCACCCTAATATATATATATATATATATATATATATATAATGTATTTTATTATACTGTCGTAGATAAAATTTAGGAAAAAAAGCTAAGATCTAAAATTATAATTTATACTATAGAATGGTAATGGTAAAATAAAAGTGTTCTTTAAACTAGTGGAAGCATAAGTGCAATCAGGGGAAAAATAGACATTTTGGGGTATCAATTTTAACAAAGAGAAAAAGTAAATTTTCTAATTAGAAGGGGGCCCTAAAGTTTTTTGTGGCAATAAGTAAAAGGAACTTATAGAAAAAAAAGTCGCCAAAATTTGTGTACCTACGGCGCCAGAATCGCAAATACGCCACTGGTTGGGTCCAGTATAGATAATATTTGACAGTAATTAAAATCACTATCATAAAAAACACTTCGATTCAAATCTGTAGATAGTCTTTGATTTTAAGAAATTGATTAATTATTCTTAAAGCAAGATTAACTCCTATTTCTATCATTAATGCTAATTAATAGTTGATTTATAAGTTTTTTGAATAAATATTTCATGAATAAAATAATTATGAATAAATAACTATTAAAGAAATTCAGCGTAGTACGAAATTGATATTTAATAATTTAGTATTGTAATTTTTTCGGAGAAATTATAAAAAATAAAAAAGTAGTTATTACTTTTATGGCAAACATGTATAAAAATTAAAGGGCTTGCACACAGATCTTCTTAGATAATTATTTGTTGTTAATTATTAATGAAATTTAAATTTATGAGAGTAAAAAAAAAATATTGTTCAGATTAATATGCAGTTAAGAAATTGTAAGCTGAGAAAATAATACCGCAATAGGCGTACGGTGGTACACGAAAATGTATTTATTTATGTATTTATGCAGCAAAACCAGTACCGCAATAGGCTCACGAAAATATATGATTAGACATGTATACGTCTCAAAAAGATAAAAAAAAAAACCAAAAAGAATCCAACAATAAAGCAAACGCCACAACCAGTCAAGGCTAACGTCGAAAACGTAACAGAACGTAATATATGTATTTCATACTCGGCGGCGGCCTTATCTGGTGTCGGCCGTGCGACGCCGGCTGTCCGGACAATGGCCGACAGCGGTGGCGGACGGGTCTTGGGTGCTGGTCATGGCGGCGCCGGTGCGGATGGTGGACGGACGGCCGCTTCCCTATCGCGGTCCTTCCACTCCTTGGAGGCCCGGTTGATGCGCTCCCTCCGACATGCGTCGGAGGGAGCGATCTTCCTGTAGCCCGGGTGAGCCGGTGGCGGCCGAGTCCGCCCCAAAAGACGTACTCGCCACGTCGGTCACTCTGTCCCGGGCGTAGGGTGCAGTAGCGGGGCGATCGGCGGTCGCTGCACTACC